TGTTGTTGGTTTTTATATTAATTAGTTCATAAGGATCCAGTCCGTACGATTTTCATGGAAAGAAATAAAGGATTGAAGGAAAATGACACATGCAAGAAATATATTTAAAAAAAGAAAGATAATAAATTGAATAAAACGGCAAATTTTTTTTATGAACACGGAAAAAAAATTAGAAAAAAAAATGGCCCATGCAGGTCTCGAACCTGCGACCTTCGCGTTATTAGCACGACGCTCTAACCAACTGAGCTAATAGGCCAATTGATTTTATTTAATTGTTGTTGGTTTTTTATATTAATTAGTTCATAAGGATCCAGTCCGTACGATTTTCATAGAAAGAAATAAAGGATTGAAGGAAAATAACACATTTGAAGCCTTTACTCCATTGTTGAATTAGGATATATAGGTAAATGAGGATCATAGCAAATGTATTTTATTTTTTTTTATCGTATACCATTAGCCATATAAATTAATATAATTTACGGAGAGAGATTCAAACTTGAAGACAATAGATTTGATGCATTGTTTCAAAATAAAGGGATCTCATCAAACCCACGTGGCTTTGTTTTTTATTTTTTTTATTTTTGTTGGGTTTTGGTTTTATCAATGTACATTATTCTGGATTTTTCCAAATAGATGCATTTGGATGAATCTCATGGGCATTAGCATCTCTGATAAAATGAAGTGAAGTCTGGAACTTGGACCCACTATTTGACTATTATATGTCTCAACTTAATCATCCATGTTATTTCCAATTTACCATAATGCCCCCCCTAGTCAACGACCCTCCGGCTTCGATGGAAGAGGCCATTTGTATTTTTGCACAAATAAAATTTTATAATAGAAAATTTGGTGTGGAAAGTGAAAAATATTGGAAAGAGATGAATTTGTATGAAGATTTGGTGTGAAAAATGAATAATATTGGTAGGTATTTATAGAAAAATATTCCATAATTTTTTGATATTTTTTTCAATTTTTTTTATCCAAAATTTGGACAGCTGTTGGATTGGATAAGATTTTTGAATCGGAGGCTCCAAGAGAAGCCACGTGGCTTGTAGCCGTTGGTTTTTTTGGGCTAGTGGGTCAACGCCGACGTCAGCAGCCTTCGGGCTACCGCCCAGTCGATTCTTACCCATGGGCTTGCCCGGGTTGGACATGGCGCTCTAGAGGGGGGTTTGGGGCCTGGGGCTACCTTTTGCTTGTAAATAAATTGCTGGTATGGACGATAATCCCGCACCATACTTTAAATAATAAAGTAAATGTGCCAGTATGGGCACTAATTCTACTTCATACTTTTAAATAAAAAGTAAAGGCAGTTGGGTGGACGATAAACTCGTGCCACACTTTTAAAGAAATATTGTTGTATGCGTAATAAACCTACACCATACAGTAAATGCGAGGATAAAACCACCACATGTTATATATTGTGGGTAATATAACTGTGCCACTATTCAAGATATAACAAGATGGGTTTTAAGATCAAACCATCATTTTTATTACAATATAAGTGTTACAACGTGATGGGTAATGAAATTACACCACCATAAAATAATATGATGGGGTATAAAACCGCACCATTCCAAATTACAATACGAAAAAAATAAATTAAACAAACATGGATGAAACAACATAAAAATTGTGAAAATACAAAAAGTAGTTGTCGTAGTAGTAAAGTGAGATGAGACGTATGACAAAGAGGAGACAAAGAAATAACCACATAGTCTTGAGCTAGGAAAATTTAGAAGTAAAGAGGAGAGACTATCATGCTGATAACATGTTATAAAAATAAAATAATCAGAGTATGAAAAGTACCACTGAATATTGGGAGTAGAATTATATTTGCTCTTCTGGTGTTTACACTAATAGAATTCTCTCAGATAGAACTCACTAACACTCAGATTTCACACTCTCTCTTCTTTCCTCTTACTCTTCCTTTCTTTCCTCTCTTCTCCGTTGGTGTTTTGCTAAGCCTATTTATAGGCAAATTGGATGGCTTCCAACATTATCATTAAGCTTTTTGAATATTATATCATTCTTTTCTTTATGCTCCACCACTTTCTTTACAACAAAATTCAATATGTTTTCCTTTCTCACTTTCTTAATTGTGTTCATTCCCCCTTCTTTGTTGTTTAATATGGCTCCAAAACCACACAAAAAAGTGTCAATTGGAAACCACAAGAAGATGAGGCATTATGCAGGGGTGGAAATTTATCTTTGAAGATGGGCCGATTGGCATCAATCAACCAAATGACACCTTTTGGGTTCGTGTGTAACTTAAGTTTTTAGAGAATAATCTGTCAGTGTTGGATCAGAGCCATGAACATTTCAAGTCATTGCTTTTCGATTTAAGATCATCAACCAATAATGTTCTCTTTGGATAACATGTCTGATTAAGGCCAATACAAGCCCTGCAAGTGGGGCCAACCTAAGCGACTGGGTTAGTACTCATTTTATTCAAGTTTTAAAGTTCATATTTTGAAAAAAAAAATTTCATGTCATAACTTATCACTTCTTTTACCCATTTGAGTAGGATGTACATGCAAAAACTATTTTTTTGAATGATAATAAGGGTATGGAAAAACCTTTCAAGTTGAACCATGCATGACAAATCTTATAAGATTACCCAAAGTGAAATGACCAATTTGAATCTCCCACACAAACATCCAGAGATTCTTCCCATAGTGGCAATACATTCAACTTAGAGGAAGATGCAGGTGATGTGGTCATGCAACAACATCATTCAAGATGCGAAAGAAAAGATCTCTCCGAATTCTGAACCACCTACGAAAGTTCACCAGGGGATGAAGTGATCTTTCCATTAAGTAGTCCTCCATGAGATCAGAATGATGTTTTTCACTGTGACAATTCTTGAATTCACGACCTAAAACGGAACCATCATGTTTGCACTGTCAAGTACATTGCTCGAACAATAACGTCATCATTAGAAGCCTTCTCACATGAACTCATTGTAAGAAGAATGATATTGAAGGAGATTGTTCACACGTTTTTTATTTAATCCTGTGATGGTAGGGTAAAGTTCCCCATTGGCTTGACAACCATTGGTGGTCAACAAGTCAACTTTCTTTTATGCGTGAGCGTGCCACTGCTAGCAGTTTAAAACCCTAGCAGACTTCTAAAAGATAGATAACTTGAGCCCCAAGTTACTGACTTTTGAACAAGCAATTGTGAATTTGGGTGAGGAATATCTTCCAAGTAAGTTCTTTTGTTTGCCTCAGACTGGTGAGGACTTCATAATTTTTCACAGTACAAAATGGGTAGTTTTGGCCAGAATAGACAAAAAGAAGGCAAATTGTTTAGGCAGAACTGCCTATTACAGGACTCAAAAAATGAAATGACAACTCCGAAGCAAGACAACAGGATGTTGGACTTCGATTTCTGTCTGGATAACTACCTCTAAACCGGGCTGGATTGGATGTGTCTGTCCTTGATTGGATCGTCAACACCTTCAACAGATGAGTTTCAATCGGAAATCAATACCAATGTTTGAGTCTGGCAAAGCTTTAATTTATTTCAAGCCATGGAAGGCTTGTTGAATTGGCAGAATTGAGGCCTCTTCAGTCTGGAAAGGGCCAAAGTAGCTGGATTGATGATCACTGAGTTGGAGCTACGCTATGGTGCCTGTTCTGCTTGACCAAGACTTTCTATAAATTTGCTGAGGTTTTCATATTTGTAAAAACTAGGACTCTGCTTGACTTGGCTTTGTGCTGAACCAAATTTGTAACAAGAAAAATCTCACTTTGTAAAACTGTTTCTCTGAACTGAACTGAAATCAGAAACTTGAATTCTAGCTGACTTGTTTCTTGTGGCTCAATGAGCTTTGGTTGCTTCAGTGTTTGAAGGCTTTTGAGATCAATGGATCTTTTTGAGTTTGTCAAGTGTAACTTTGAGAGTTTTTGTCTTGATTGATTTTTTTGGCTGTCTTCCATTTGTTCACCCTCTCTCTTATTTTATAAGAAATGCTAGAGTGGGGTTTTTAATCTTTGAATAATGGGCAGCAAATCCTTCAAAAAAGATCTTTTTTTTTTAAATGCCAAAACAGGGGGAAGCTATCTATTCTGGCAGAGAAGAACCATCAACGATCAATTCCCATGGTGGTCTTTTCTTTGCTTTTTTTGAAAGAAAGACCGACTCTTTTTGTTTCTGTTTGTTCCTTGTAAAGAGAAAGAACACAATCTGCCATGATGGTCAGTTTGTTTTTCCTGTCTGAACAACTCCCTTGCTTCCTACTTATCTATTGAGATCATAGTCTGCTTATCTCTTGGAAAGGTCACCTGCTTTGGTGTAGAGTTTTTCTGTATATATATAAAAAGGGATTTTGATCTTTTGGCTACAAAGATTTAGAGAAGTCTTCCTTTTATACCTACCTTCATTAACTCTCTATCAACTCCTCTGTGATAGTTGAAATTTTTGACTTTCTAAAGTCAGGTAGTCACGTGGGGCTCTTCTGGGAAAACATTTTTTTAATAAGAAAAGATCCGCTGAATTGCTTTTGAGATCAAGTGGTGAGAATTCTTTAGAAGTTGAGCTTTAATCCAATCTCTTAGACGTTTTTGACCTACTTGGTGATGAATTACCATTTAATTAGTAATTTATTGATTTATTTACTTATTATTTTTGTGCCTTTTAAACTTCTGCCACTTTTGCAAAAGACATGGGCCTCTAATTTTGATTGGGCTGCTTTCCTTTTCTTTCAAAGCTCAAGACTGTTCATTATCATGGGCTTGATAAATTATCGGCTGGGCTCACAGAATTCGAGAATTTAGTCTGGGCTTTTTCTATTTTTGGCTGCTCTTCAGTTTCTTTTAAACATCAAGCCCAAGTTGTGCTCATGTTTGTGGGCTGCATAAATAGGCCCAAACAATGCCCCCTAAGTCTGAATCGTTTTGGAACGGTTTCAGACTTAATGATTTGCCATTAATTACATGTGCGTGCCATTTCCTTCCGTTGCAACCAGCCCACGTCTGCCTATTCAACTAGGCTTCATGGGTAAGTGGTCAGTTTCTAACGGCTAATTTGAATCTGATTTAAAACTTGTTCCACTTTCCCACGATCTTCTTCCTCAATTTATAAAAAATTTTGAACTCCATTACTATTCACTTGCAACCTAATTCCGTCTCAGCTTCAATTTCTTCTGGAAACCCTCCGTTTTTTGGCTTGTTCTTCGATTCTCCCCGGTTTCTTGCTTGAATTCAAAGATTTCTTCCCCAAAAACACGTGCCAAAGGTTCTTCCTCCTCTCGGTCTCCTGCTTATCTTACTGGAGATGGTGTTGATCAGCATGCAATCGAAGTTCGCAGCAAGCTCCACCCTTTTACCCAGAAGAATTTGGACGAAAACGTTCATTGCCTTTGTGAGAACACACTCGTTCTAGGTCCTCACTGGTTTGGCGCGGTGGTCAATCTGTTCAAGGAGGATGCTGAGGCTCCCCTTTGCCTCCAAAGCTCTTCTGCCCTGGCTTCTCACACCTGGGTCAGTAAGAACTTGAGTCATTCCTATCCCTCCAGTGAAGTGAGGAATAGTGCAATGAAGTGGTCGGATTGGATTGATAGACTCCTTTCGAGGTATGGAGATCACTAGAAAAGGGCTGGAATCTACAACTCCATTATTCTGTCCAAGCAATCTGTGAATAGGGATGAGAACTTGCTGGCTACAGCTCTCTGCTTCTGGAATTCTGCCAATAATACATTTAATTTTCGTGTGGGCCCTGTGACTCCAACTCTGCTCCTAGCGCATTCTGGATGATCCAGATCTGGCTGTAGGTCTATTTCCCAGAATTGAGGTTTCTAGACATCATTCTGCCTAAAGACTAGGTCATGGCGCTCCCCCTGATGTCTGCAAAAGTGCCCAAGAGCTCCATTGAAGAGTACATGATGTTTTTTAGGCATTGTACTAAGAGGTCTGCTGCTCAGTGGCATGTGGTACTTAGAAGAACATATCCTCGATTCCAGACTGGATACAGATTGTTTGATAAGGAACTTGAGGATGAAGAGGCAAGAACTAACTTCAGGAAGAAGTTCCTGAGTGTAATGCTGCTTTGGGCCCTACCTTTTGGAGGTGGTAAGCCTCCTAACTATCATCTAGGCAGAGAGGTCTATCACCCCAACTTCTATGCCAAGCAGCTTGGATGTCCCCAACTTATTTCGTTGCAATAGAGGCACCTCTTGGAGAGATGCAGATGATCTGGACCTGCACAAGGATTGTAGATGTGCAGTCCTGCACAAGGATTGTAGATGTGCAGTGAATAAGATAAACAACAGTGCAGATGCTATCTATCCATCCTGGGAGCCCAATTCCTGCAGTTCTGCTGAGTTTGATGCTTGGTGGAAGGCTAGGTTCATTGGTCTGCCTGATTCCAGTTCTGCCACGAAGGTGATTTTTTGATGGCTGGGATTCCTAGATTGTCCATGCACGGGCAGAGGCTAAGAAATTTATGGTGCAGACGATCAAAGATATCAATGCCCAAGTAATTGAAGGTAAACTTTCAATTCTACCCCTTTGATTCCATTCTGTCAATGATTATTGCATTCTGTTTTGGTGCTGATGTTTTAATCTGTTCTATCTGTTTGTATCAGATCCTTCTATGACAAGGAACCTTGGGGGACAAGTTGTTCAGGTTGGAGAAGTGTTTGGTAAGCTTCTGAATTCTGTCCTTCTGCCTTTTTCCTGCTGGATTGCCTTTTAATTCTTTCTTCTTCTGTGTAGTTACTTCTATCATCACTATTGGAGACTTGGAGCTCCCTTTTGGGGATGAAGAAAATCAGCATGGAACTCTGGCAGAACAATCAACTGTTGAGGTGACTCCTTTTGCCAGAAGGAACAAGAGAAAGGAGACTGCCCAGGCTCGGGACAGTGTTGTCTAACTTGAAACCTCAGGTAATCTTTAACAATGAGACTTTCCTTGGCTCTGTTCTGTTCAGTCTATTTGTTCTAATCCTTTATCTTTTGTTCTTTGTAGCCGAAAGTCCCCTCCTCCTCCTACTAGGTCAAAGAGACTTAGGAAAAGAGCGGTGGCGGAATATGAGGTGATAGAAGAACCTATAGCAGTTCCTACTGAAACCTCTGGAACTGATGAAGAGCTAAGGGAAGCTTTTGAAGCTGTAAAGCAGGAGAAGGAAGTAGATGTCTCAATAGGAGACAAGAAAAAAGGCAAAGAAGTCGAAGAAGAGGTAAGATCCTGTCTTTAATTCCTTAACATGATCCATTTTATATATGTTTTTCTTCTAATCTTGACTTCTGTCTTTTTGTAGGAGGAGATCCCTGCTGAAATAATAGCAGAGAGCATTGCGCTGGCTAAGCAATAACAGGAAGCTCAAGGGACAGAACTCACTAATTTAGAACTGGCTCTATTTGATGATGTGGAGGCAGAACATTCTACTGCTGTTCCAAAGCCTGAAGTGGAGGCAGAACACTCTATTGCTATCCCTGTTCCTGAGGTAACTTATGTCATCTCTTTACTCTATTTGGTTTTTGCAATTCTACCTGCTTTATCCTTCTAATTGATGTTCCTGTTTTACTAGGTAGAGGAGGATAGAATTGATGGGACTTTGGCTGTAGTGACCAGCCCTCTCAAGCCTCCCATTGTGGCTGTAAGTATCATTGTGCCTTTAGCCCTTTTCTTATTCTAATTCAACACGGAACTAACTGAAATTTTTTCTTTGCAAATGCCTATACATTCTGTCCCTAGCTCCTCAACCACGGCCTCCTTTACTGATCCAGAATTGGAAGAGTTTGAAGCTATGGATCTGGATGATCAGCTGGACAAGTTAGAGAAACTCAGCTCCACTCCTGGCAAAGCTAAGTCCAAAGCAGTAGATGAGGTAGTGGACATAGTGAAAATCTGGCAGTCAACCAAGCTAGACTTGGATGAGAGCAACAAAGCTATTGACCAGTTGATGAAGGACCTAGACCTGCTGCATAGGGAGAACATGGCTCCTAGGCCTATCATTGAGATCAGTTTGGGTTTGGCAAAAGATGTGCTTAACCTCCATAACCGATATGAAGATCTCAAGCCCTCCTTCAATGCCTCTGAATTTTGCAAGGCTACTCGTGAAGCCAACTTGGCTTATTATAAAAAACAGATGGCAGAATTGGAAGGAGACCAAGTCCACTGCTGACAAGTTAGAAAAACATATCGAGGAACTCCAGAAGCAGCTGGCTGGGCTAAGAGAGAGGCAAAAGAAGCTTGGGGCTAGACTGGGCACCAAGACCAAGGCAACTTTCCTTGTGCAAAACATGGTATCAGCTTCTATGCCACCATTGGAGATTGCAGAAGCTTCTATTCATCAGGGAGTGCTCCCCCATAAGGAGATTTCCACCAAAATGACTGGATTTCAAGAAACACTTAGAAAATTAGGTCTTTGAATTTCTTCCAAAATGTAATAAAAACTTGGTCATAACGATTGACTATATTTAAATAAAAATCCTGATTATTTTGTGGAACTTTGCATTTTCATGTTCTTCTAACTTAGATGAAACAAAAAGGCAAAATGAAATACACACTAAACGTAAAACTCTTGTACAAATTTGAATGGAAAATCAAACAATAGTTCCATCCCTTTCCTCCTCAATTCCAGGATATGTTTGTACTGCTTGTGAATCCCACATAGTTGGATAGAACTTTTTCAACCATTTGCCATTGATTGGCACATCATGGATGTCTCCATCTTGATCCTGTAATCTGTATGCCCCCAATCCAAGGACTTGCTTGACTATGAAAGGTCCTTCCCATGTAACGTGTGTTCTAAGGGGCAGAACTACTTTCCAGACGATTTCTCCTTCTTCAAAACTCTTGTTTCTAACCCTCTTGTTATAGGCTCTTGCCACAGCCTGCTTTCCTGCTAAGAGTTTGTTGAGGGTATCAATTCTGCTAGTATCCAGCCCTTCTAATTCTAGCAGCATTGCCTGTGAATAGTCTTCCCCAACCAAATTATGTTGTTGAGCAATTCTTATGCACTGAACTGCGATTTCCATGGGCAGAATTGCATCATGTCCATAAGTTAGGGCATATGAAGTCATGCCAGTTGCTTCTCTTTTTGAAGTTCTATAGGCCCACAATGTTTTTGACAGTTTTTCATGTCATTGCCTTGGATTTTCCTCAAACATTTTCCTGATAATGTTGATAATAATCACCTTGTTGCTTGATTCTGCCTGTCCATTAGCTTGGGCATAATAAGGAGTGGATTGAAGTAGTTTGAACTTGAATGCTTCTGCCATATCTAGCATTTCTCTAGATATGAAGGAAGTTCCCCTATCAGTGGTGATTGATTTTGGTATGCGAAACCTTTGCACAATCTGTTCTTCTATGAAGGTAATGATCTCTTGAGATGTGGTGGATTTGACTGGCTTGGCTTCCACCCATTTGGTGAAATAATCGGTAGCTACTATGATAAAACAATGTTGTTTGCTACTAGCTGGATAGATTTTGCCAATAAGATCTATTGCCCATCCTTTGAATGGTCATGGCTTGACGACTAGGTTCACGGGAACTGAGGGAGCCTGCTGGATGGACCATGTCTTTGACAAGCTTCACATCCCTTGGAATATTCTATGCAGTCTCTCATCACGGTAGGCCAGAAATAACCATACCTTCTAATCAACAACCATATTTTTCTTGCACCTTGATGTGCTCCACAGATTCCTTCATGGACTTCTCCCATGACCTTCATGTATTCTTCTTTTCCTAAGCATCTCAAAAGTAGCTCATCTTTGCTTTTTCGAACCAAATCTCCATTCCACATGAGGTAGTTTAAGGCCATGATTCTAATCCTTTTTTCAGAAGGAAAGGTTGGATACTGCAGATAATTGATTATAGGCAATCTTCAATCCTCTTTAGTCATTATGGCAGTATTGACATCTATTTCCATTCATCTGGTCAGAACATATGGTATGCATTTCTTTAATACCTTGATGATTCTCTGTACACAGTCTTCAGGCATCTGTACTCCTGTTGCTATCTAGGCCATCTCATTAGCTGCAAAGTTTTCTTCTCTTGGGATATGTTCCCAAGTGGCTTCCCTGAACTCTGCCAAGAGATTTCTGGCTGCTACTAGATAAACAGCTAAAGAGGGGCTCAAACATTTGTATTCTCCAGCAATCTGTTTTAGTACAAGCATGGAATCTCCTAGAATTTTAACAGATTGGATTCCTGATTCTACCAGCATTTCTAGTCCTATGATTAAAGCTTCGTATTCTGGTTTTTATTGATGCACTGGAAATCTAGCTAGAATGAATAACAATGTTTGATTCCTAGTGGATCTTCTAAAACAATCTTTGCCCCAGAGGCTAAGTCTGTTTTAGATCCATCAAAGTATAGCTTCCAGGGGGTGAGATGGACTCAGTAAATGGGATTATTGAGACAGGTGTGAACTCTAGTTAGCAGGTCTGCATTGGCTATATCCATGGAATCCATATTCTCAATTTCTTCCCCTAGGTGATCAGCCAAGAAATCTACAACAGCTTGCCCCTTGATGGACTTCTAAGGAACGTATATGAAAGCAAATTCTGATAGGGCCAAAGTCCATTTACCAATCCTCCCTCTCAACATTCGTCTTGTTAGCATGTACTTGATCAGATCTGTTTTGGCGATGATGTAAATAGTAAAGGGTAGCATGTAATGCATGAGCTTCACAGCAGTAATGTATAAAGCTAAACGAAGCCTTTCAATCGCAGAGTATTTCCTCTCTACCTCTGTCAAAGTCCTGCTTAGGTAGTAGGCTGCTTGTTCCTTCCCTTCCTTATTATCTTGAACTAACAGACTCCCAATGGATACTTCTGATGCAGAAACATATAATTTGAGTGGTCTGCCTCTCTTTGGTGGGGACAGAACTGGCAGATTTGAGAGGTAGTGCTTGATTTCCTCAAAAGCTTGCTGGTGCTGTTCCTCCCATTTGAATGCCTGCTCCTACTTTAATTTTAACAGGGAGGAGAAGGGTTGAATTTTCCCTACAAAATTGGATATGAATCTTCTGAGAAAGTTAATCTTCCCTAAGAGGCTTTGTAATTCTTTCTTGTTCCGAGGTGGCAAAGCTTCCATGATAGACTTTGCTTTGTTCTTGTCTATTTCTATTCCTCTTTGACGGACCAGGAAACCTAAGAAATTGCCAACTTGAACTCCATAAACGCATTTCTTGGGATTCATTTTCAACTTGTGCTTACTCATTCTTAGAAATTCTTTCTTTAGATTGGATCCATGATCTCCTTTTTCTGGAAACTTGATCACCACATCATCTATATAGACCTCTAGAGAATGATTCCAAAACTTGGGGAACGCCATAATGTTGTGGGAGGAATCATTTGGTGGGTTTTGGGTGAAATCCAATTGCTAAAACTATGCAATACCCAACCACTCCATTTCAGAACGAACTTCGTACGAACCTGAATTGTCCAATTTCATGGACCAATCGAATCGTATTGAGTCCAAAACTTGGGGAACATCATAATATGGTGGGAGGAGTCATTTGGTGGGTTTTGAGTGAAATCCAATGATAAAACTATGCAATACACCAACCACTCCATTTGGGAACGAACTTCGTACGAACCTGAATCGTCCAATTTCATGGACCAATCGATATCGGATTGAGTCCAAAACTTGGGGAACATCATAATATGGTGGGAGGAGTTCATTGGTGTTTTGAGTGAAATCCAGTCTAAAACTATGCAATACACCAACCACTCCATTTCAGAACGAACTTCGTACAAACCTGAATCGTCAATTTTGGGACCAATCGAATATCGGATTGAGTCCAAAACTTGGGGAACATCATAATATGGTGGGAGGAGTCATTGGTGTGTTTTGAGTGAAATCCAAGTATAAAAACTATGCAATACACCAACCACTCCATTTCAGAACGAACTTTGTACGAACCTGAATCGTCCCATTTCACGGACCAATCGATATCGGATTGAGTCCAAAACATGGGGAACATCATAATATGGTGGGAGGAGTCATTTGGTGGGTTTTGAGTGAAATCCAATGGATAAAACTATGCAATACACCAACCACTCCATTTCAGAACGAACTTCGTACGAACCTGAATTATCCAATTTCATGGACCAATCGATATCGGATTGAGTCCAAAACATGGGGAACATCATAATATGGTGGGAGGAGTCATTTGGTGGGTTTTGAGTGAAATCCAATGATAAAACTATGCAATACACCAACCACTCCATTTCAGAACGAACTTCGTACGAACCTGAATTGTCCAATTTCATGGACCAATCGATATCGGATTGAGTCCAAAACTTGGGGAACATCATAATATGGTGGGAGGAGTTATTTGGTGTGTTTTGAGTGAAATCCAAGTCTAAAACTATGCAATACACCAACCACTCCATTTCAGAACGAACTTCGTACAAACCTGAATTGTCCAATTTCGTGGACCAATCGATATCGGATTGAGTCCAAAACTTGGGGAACATCATAATATGGTGGGAGGAGTCATTTGGTGTTTTTGAGTGAAATCCAGTCTGAAAAACTATGCAATACACCAACCACTCCATTCAGAACGAACTTCGTACGAACCTGAATTGTCCCATTTACGTGGACCAATCGATATCGGATTGAGTCCAAAACATGGGGAACATCATAATATGGTGGGAGGAGTCATTTGGTGGTTTTGAGTGAAATCCAATGGATAAAACTATGCAATACCAACCACTCCCATTTAAAGAACGAACTTTGTACGAACCTGAATTGTCCAATTTCCATGAACCAATCGATATCGGATTGAGTCCAAAACTTGGGGAACATCATAATATGGTGGGAGGAGTCATTTGGTGTTTTGAGTGAAATCCAGTCTAAAACTATGCAATACACCAACCACTCCATTTCAGAACGAACTTCGTACGAAACCTGAATTGTCCAATTTCATGGACCAATCGATATCGGATTGAGTCCAAAACTTGGGGAACACCATAATATGGTGGGAGGAGTCATTTGGTGGTTTTGAGTGAAATCCAGTCTAAAACTATGCAATACACCAACCACTCCATTCCAGAACGAACTTCGTACGAACCTGAATTGTCCCATTTCATGGACCAATCGATATCGGATTGAGTCCAAAACTTGGGAGAACATCATAATATGGTGGGAGGAGGCATTTGGTGGGTTTTGAGTGAAATCCAATGGCTAAAACTATGCAACACACCAACCACTCCATTTTAGAACGAACTTCGTACGAACCTGAATTGTCCGATTTCATGGACCAATCGATATCGGATTGAGTCCAAAACTTGGGGAACATCATAATATGGTGGGAGGAGTCATTTGGTGGGTTTTGAGTGAAATCCCATGGCTAAAACTATGCAATACACCAACCACTCCATTTCAGAACGAACTTCGTACGAACCTGAATTGTCCGATTTCCTTGGACCAATCGATATCGGATTGAGTCCAAAACTTGGGGAACATCATAATATGGTGGGAGGAGTCATTTGTTGGTTTTGAGTGAAATCCAGTCTAAAACTATGCAATACACCAACCACTCCATTCAGAACGAACTTCGTACAAACCTGAATTGTCCAATTCATGGACCAATCGAAATCGGATTGAGTCCAAAACTTGGGGAACATCATAATATGGTGGGAGGAGTCATTTTGGGTTTTGAGTGAAATCCAATGCTAAAACTATGCAATACACCAACCACTCCATTTCAGAACGATCCTCGTACGAACCTGAATTGTCCGATTTCATGGACCAATCGATATCGGATTGAGTCCAAAACTTGGGGAACATCATAATATGGTGGGAGGAGTAATTTGGTGGGTTTTGAGTGAAATCCAATGTCTAAAACTATGCAATACACCAACCACTCCATTTCAGAACGAACTTCGTACGAACCTGAATTGTTCGATTTCATGGACCAATCGAAATAGGATTGAGTCCAAAACTTGGGGAACATCATAATGTGGTGGGAGGAGTCATTTGGTGGTTTTGAGTGGAATCCAATTGCTAAAACTATGCAATACACCAACCACTCCATTTCAGAACGAAACTTCATTTCGAACCTGAATTATCTATTTCATGGACCAATCGATATCGGATTGGGTCCAAAACTTGGGAAACATCATAATTTGGTGGGAGGAGTCATTTGGTGTGTTTTTGAGTGAAATCCAATTATTAAAAACTATGCAATACACCAACCACTCCATTTCAGAAAGAACTTCGTACGAACCTGAATTGTGCGATTTATGGGCCAATTGTAATCGGATTGAGTCCAAAACTTGGGTAACATCATAATTTTGTGGGAGGAATCATTTTGGTGAGTTTTGAGTGGAATCCATTTAAGAACGAACTTCGTACGAACCTGAGTTGTCTAATTTCATGGACCAATCGAATCGGATTGCGTCCAAAATTTGGGGAACATATGATATTGTGGGAGGACTCGTTTGGTGGTTTTTGAGTGAAATTCAACGGCTAAAACTATGCATTACACCAACCACTCCATTTCAGAACGAACTTCGTACGAACCTGAATTGTCGATTTCATGGACCAATCAACATCGGATTGAGTCCAAAACTTGGGGAACATCATAAAGTATGGTGGGAGGAGTCATTTAGTGGGTTTTGAGTGAAATCCAATGGCAAAAACTATGCAATACACCAACCACTCCATTTCATAACGAACCTCGTACGAACCTGAATTGTCCGATTTCATAGACCAATCGAAATCGGATTGAGTCAAAAACGTAGGGAACATCAGAATATGGTGGGAGGAGTCATTTTGTGGGTTTTGAGTGAAATCCAATGGCTAAAACTATGCAATACACCAACCACTCCATTTCATAACGAACTTCGTACGAACCTGAATTGTCCTATTTCATGGACCAATCGATATCGGATTGAGTCCAAAACTTGGGGAACATCGTAATATGGTGGGAGGAGTCATTTGGGGGGTTTTGAATGAAATCCAATCTCTAGAACTATGCAATACACCAACCACTCCATTCCAAAACGAACCTGAATTGTCCAATTTCGTTGACCAATCGAAATTAGATTGAGTCCAAAACTTATGGAACATCATAATGTTGTGGGAGGACTATTTTTGGTGAGTCTTGAGTGAAATCTGTTGAGCCTGTTCTTAACAACTAAAATGAGTTAATAAAAATAGCAACTTTAATTCTTGCAAGTGCACGAACCGTTTATAGTATAGCTTATGTAAATACGAGGTCGAACCCATGGAGAATGGTAACTTGGTTCCAAGTTAAATTACTTAGAATGCTAGAAAAACATAGAACAAAGAAACTGACTAACTAGCTAAAGGCAAGGTCGAATTCAACAATGCCTCTTGCTAATTACTCAAGGTCTAGGACAGAATCCTAGCACCACACACGCACTCGAAATGGGGGGTTTTGTTGTTGAAATGGAAAGAAGAAAGTGAAATGAAAGTGCTCGAAAGTAAACACCGGACAGATTGTGAAACAATAATTGAGAGGTGTTAGAGCCTTGGAATCCACCACTAGTTTTTCTATCCAAGTTATGAATGCATAGAAATTGACTCAAGCTTTATCAACAATAGATTATCGCATACAAGCCTGTGGTATCTAGGTGTAGGATGCATGATTCTCCTAAGGCATGTAATTGTGCATGGTATCTACACAACACGTGATCTCTAATATACAACCTAAGAATGGTATCTACTTAGAATAAAGCATACAAGAGTCATTAAGCTCCATGAGAATACGATAATCACACAAGTCCTAGAACATGGTATATGTCCTAGTCAACCTATGGTTATTAACCCCTTGAATGATTCTTAGGCCATTCATATATTGCTTGTGAAAGGAAAGTAGAATTGATGAATCTAAACCCCTTCCCAACCTGTGGTAGATGCATAAAATCCTAGTTAGCTACTTCAAGAAAACATACATCAAGCACATAATAAACTGGAGATTAACAACTTGATAATGAAAGCAAGGAAATCAATTAACTAAAAAATCATTCATAACATTGAATATTCATGACTAGGGCTTCATCGTAATCCCTAACTAAATGGATTAGTTAAACATAACTATGAATACAGAAAATAAGAAATACATAGATAGGATAAAGAGAAGAGAAGAACTAGCTGGCAGCAATGTAGTTCCCAGGACAGCTCCGAGCTCTCTTCTCTCTTTGTGGTGAATCTGAATGTGTGTATGAGAGTAATGGATGAAGTGAAAATGTGTATCTGACTACTCCCCCTTGAATGAGTGTGCAGCTCTCTATCTATAGAGTGAAATTTCGTCCTCCCCTTTGGCTAGTGAAGCACACCTCTCTTAGCTTCTCCCAATTGCTCCAGCTACCCATACTTGCCAACTGCTCCAGCTGCCAAATACATGCTTTGGTATGGTTTCTTTATGGAAAGTTTGACTTTTGTTCATCTTTCTGAGTTCATGAGCTGATTTGACTCCCTTGTATGGCTGCCCATGTGTAGCACATGGTTTAGGGATGTAGCCACATTAAATGTGATGGCAGCCAACATGAAATTTCTGTGAACTTGGTTCAGTCTTTGACGTGCTAAGGGCTCCAAATTTATCCAATTGGGGTGAAATTTGGAAATGTTATAATCGACACCCATTGGAACAAATGCTATCAAGGATGTCTGCTCATCCGACCTGTGTAAGTTGCTGAAATGAGGCCTGCAAGATGACCTACGAAACTGGACTGACAAGGAGTGTGGCTCAAATTGGTTTAGTCTTTAAGTTCATATTCCCCTTGTGCCACTCAGCCCTTAACAAGCATGAATTGTATCAAATGTCATCCCCTTGCTGTCTTAACCTAGAAAACAAACAAAAAGAGGTAAGTGACTCAAAGTAAAGAGAAACTAACAAAAGCCACTAAGCAAAGAAGGCAAGTGAATGTATGAAATTATGAACTTATCAAAATCCAATCTCAAGAACTATGCAATACATCAACCGCTCCATTTCGTAAAAACCTGAATTATCATATTTCATGGACCAATCGATATCGGATTGAGCCCAAAACTTGGGGAACAACATAATATGGGGAGGAGTCATTTGGTGGGTTTTGAGTGAAATCCAATCTCTAAAACTATGCAATACACCCACCACTCCATTTCAGAACGAACTTCGTACAAACCTGAATTGTCCGATGTCATGGACCAATCGAAATTGGATTGAGTCCAAAACTTGGGGAACAACATAATGTTGTGGGAGGAGTCATTTGGTTGGTTTTGAGTGAAATCCACTGGCTAAAACTATGCAATACACCAACTACTCCATTTCAGAACGAACTTCCTACGAACCTGAATAGTCCGATTTCGTGGACCAATCGATATCGGATTGAGTCCAAAACTTGGGGAACAACATAATATGGTGGGAGGAGTCATTTGGTTGGTTTTGAGTGAAATCCAATGGCTAAAACTATGCAATACACCAACCACTCCATTTCAGAACAAACTTCCTACGAACCTGAATAGTCCGATTTCATGGACCAATCGATATCGGATTGAGTCCAAAACTTGGGAACAACATAATATGGTGGGAGGAGTCATTTGGTTGGTTTTGAGTGAAATCCAATGGCTAAAACTATGCAATACACCAACCACTCCATTTCAGAACGAACTTCCTACGAACCTGAATAGTCCGATTTCATGGACCAATCGATATCGGATTGAGTCCAAAACTTGGGGAACAACATAATATGGTGGGAGGAGTCATTTGGTTGGTTTTGGAGTGAAATCCAATGGCTAAAACTATGCAATACACCAACCACTCCATTTCAGAACAAACTTCCTACGAACCTGAATAGTCCGATTTCATGGACCAATCGATATCGGATTGAGTCCAAAACTTGGGGAACAACATAATATGGTGGGAGGAGTCATTTGGTTGGTTTTGGAGTGAAATCCAATGGCTAAAACTATGCAATACACCAACCACTCCATTTCAGAACGAACTTCCTACGAACCTGAATAGTCCGATTTCATGGACCAATCGATATCGGATTGAGTCCAACACTTGGGGAACAACATAATATGGTGGGAGGAGTCATTTGGTTGGTTTTGGAGTGAAATCCAATGTCTAAAACTATGCAATACACCAACCACTCCATTTCAGAACGAACTTCCTACGAACCTGAATAGTCCGATTTCATGGACCAATCGATATCGGATTGAGTCCAAAACTTGGGGAACAACATAATATGGTGGGAGGAGTCATTTGGTTGGTTTTGGAGTGAAATCCAATGGCTAAAACTATGCAATACACCAACCACTCCATTTCAGAACGAACTTCCTACGAACCTGAATAGTCCGATTTCATGGACCAATCGATATCGGATTGAGTCCAAAACTTGGGGTACAACATAATATGGTGGGAGGAGTCATTTGGTTGGTTTTGAGTGAAATCCAATGGCTAAAACTATGCAATACACCAACCACTCCATTTCAGAACGAACTTCCTACGAACCTGAATAGTCCGATTTCATGGACCAATCGATATCGGATTGAGTCCAAAACTTGGGGAACAACATAATATGGTGGGAGGAGTCATTTGGTTGGTTTTGAGTGAAATCCAATGGCTAAAACTATGCAATACACCAACCACTCCATTTCAGAACGAACTTCCTACGAACCTGAATAGTCCGATTTCATGGACCAATCGATATCGGATTGAGTCCAAAACTTGGGGAACAACATAATATGGTGGGAGGAGTCATTTGGTTGGTTTGGAGTGAAATCCAATGGCTAAAAAACTTGATCACCACATCATCTATATAGACCTCTAGAGAATGACCTATCATGTCATGGAAAACAGAATTCATTGCCCTTTGATAAGTGGCTCCTACATTTCTCAAACCAAAAGGCATTACAGTGTATTCAAAAGCACCTATATGCCCTGGACACATGAAGGCTGTTTTGTGGATGTCTTTTTCTGCCACCATTATCTAATTGAATCCTGCATTGCCATCCATGAATGATAGCATTTGATTGTGAGCAACTCCGTCCACCAACATGTCCGCCATAGGCATTGGATACTCGTCTTTAGGAGATGCTTCGTTCAAATTTCTGTAGTCCCACACATATTTTGACTGCCCCCGTCTTCCTTTTAAGGACTGGTACAATATTGGACAACTAATAAGCATAAATGGATGGCCTTATTAAACATGCTTTAACCAACCTTTCCACTTCTTCTTTCACTTTCAATTCTGTCTCCTTGGACATCCTTCTTCTGGCCTGCTTGACTGGTAGGTAACCTTATTTTATTGGTAATTTGTGTTCTACCAATCCTCTATCCAGTCCAGGCATTTCATGATAATGCCATGCGAAATAGTCTTTGAAATCATGCAGAAGTGCAATGATTTCATCCTTCAATGATTCTTCCAGCAACGTGCTGATGAAAGTAGGTCTAGGGTCCTCTTCTGTCCTCAAATTTATTTCTTGCAAAGGATCCTCTACATTTGGCAGAGAGTCATCCAGTGATACTAGTGCAAATTCCAATTCCTCATCTTGCATATTTCCTTCATGTTCTTCCATGTTCTCATGCATAAATTCTGCCATTTTAATTGTTGGATTATGCATGGAAAGTTTCCTTTCTTCCCAATATACCAACAATCTATTTGTAGTGGATCGAATTGTTGCAGCTCGATCCCTTTCTTGTTGGTTTGAACTATACATTAGAATTTTGGAGGTTTAGGAGGAAATGCCTGTTCCAATCCTCTAGAGAACCAACCAAGCCTTCTTCAATAAGTTTCTGGGCTGTGACACCATGGGGACGGCCGTTTTGGTTGACTCCAAAGAAAGTAAATGGACCAAGGTCATCATGATAGTACATGGCCTTAAAGCACAATGCAAATGGTAGGAATGGTCGTGGGTCGGCCTCCACTATTTCCATATAACCCTCTTCATGCCAGAGGGCCAACTGTTGGTGTAGAGTGGAAGGAACACATAGACTCTGGTGGATCCAATTTTTGCCAAGCAGTGCATTGTAAGTGGTAGAAGTGGTGTCTACCACGAAAAAGGCAATCTTCAGCTTCTTGGTTCCCACTATGACATCTACATATAGTGTTCCATGAGTCTTAGTGATGCCCCCAGTGAAGTTGGTGACTATTAGGCATGTTGGAATTAGATCATTCTCTGTTCTGCCCATTTTTACCAGCAATCTGTGAGGTAGAAGGTTAATGGTTGCACCTCCATCTACAATTACTTTGGGGATAAGAATACCCCCGAAGTTGGCTGTTATGAACAGGGGTTTGAGATGATTAGCCTTTTCCTTGGTAGGTTTGGAAAAGCACAGCTGTTATATGACCATTTTCATGGTAGTTCTACTTGTTTTGTCAGCAAATATTTGTTGTTCTGGTGCCTCCTCCACTTCTACCAACCTGCACTCGAAAGTCTCTTGTGATAGTACATCTCTTTCCAAAGTGCTCTCTTGTCCTTTAGCTGCTCTGAACTTCTCTGGCAGGATAAACACCATATTAATGCCTAGATCACAGGCTTTCTAATTATGCACCGAAGCCTCAGTTTCTTCATCTAATTCTTCGTCGTACTCCATTTGTTCTTCTTCATATTCTTCTATCCAGTCTTCTTGCTCACCTGTTTCAAGGAGTCTAGTCTAGTCGTCTGCAGATGGTTCGTAATCCAATTGTTCTTCTTCATATTCTTCAATCCAATCTTCTTGACCTTCTGCTAGAATAGGTCCAGATTGAGCTTGTGATTGTGAAGGTTCCAACTAATTGATTGAGGATGAGGCAGGATGGATATAAGGTTTGCTTGCAGATTCTGTCTTTGTCAGCTCTTCTGGTTGATATGTTGTATGTTCTGCCTGATAATCTGCTTCTAGATTTTTCCCTTTTTTTGGTAGAACTGACCTCTAGAAGTACTTGTGTGTTATTCTTATTCTTGAGGAAGGTGCAGTATTGCCTATGGACTCTCCTTTTATGTGTTCTGGTTAGCTTTAAAGTTGGTCTGCCGCTCTTTCCAACATAATACCATTTGCCTTCTATAATAGTTGCCAATGGCTTATCATTTCTAGGTATTTTAACTAGTATCTCGTTCTTTAGCTGCTCTGTCATTTTTCTGTTGCATTGGGCAGGTTTTTGATAAGCCCTCTTCCTGGCTATGTCTCTAGGTGGAGCCAGAATTGGACCCTGTTGGTATGATGTTCCAATCCTGTCAAAAACACTAGCTGTGGGCTGACTTTGCCCATCCAGAGTTACTGCCAAATCACTTTCGCATTTGCACTTGCTACACAGAACTACCCCAGCTAAAATGGTTTCTTTTGGTCTCTGATTAGCCCTTGTGACTCTTCATCGCCTATGTTGAGGCTAGCTTCTGCTCTTCAAATCGAGGGTTCATGGGCCCAATTTTGAGGTTGGAGCCCAGATCTGCGGTTTGCCTGTTTTGCAGTTGCACACGCGTCGCTCCAGCTCCTCTTCAGTCGGTTCCGCCATGTGCGTTACGTCACCCCGCGGAGCTCGTCTCCAACTAACTAGGCGCCGGAAAGGAACGAAAAGACCTACGCACTGCCGAAACTATTGTATCGGGGTTGTTCTTAACCTCCTTTCTGTTCAATGGGCCCCGCAACCGATCGGAACCGGCGGCCCGGCAGGCCTGCGTGTGGCACCAGGTAGGGGTGGCGACGACAAGGCCTGACAGCCCATGCCATTCCGCGACGGCATGCCACTTCACGCGCGGTGGGAGGGGGGGGGGGGGAGGGGGGGGGCCAACCCAGGGTCATATGGCACGGCTCAAACGTGGCTTATATACACTTAGGCGTTATAAGCTAACGGATGCGATCATACCAACTCACATGCACCGGATCCCATCAGAACTCCGAAGTTAAGCGAGTTTGGGCGAGAGTAGTACTAGGATGGGTGACCTCCTGGGAAGTCCTCGTGTTGCATCCCTTCTTTTTTGCTATTTTGACGTTTCGGTTGTCGTGGGCGTTTGCTTTCCGTCGTCTTATTCATCTCGCTGCCTTTGTTTCTCCGCGACCCCGTGACGCAGCGTGACAATCGGGGTAAAGTGTGCTCAAATACTCCTAGAAAGCCTAGGATTAACAGCGGAATTAAAACAGGAAAATAACGGAGTTTCCAAAAACTGTAAGAACTGGATTTCGAGCTAGTAAACGATGTCGGATGCCCAAAAAAGCCCATGAGTCATCGCATCGCAATGAGTTTTACTCGTGACGCCATTCTCTTCAAATCGAGGGTTCATGGGCCCAATTATGAGGTCGGAGCCCAGATCTGCGATTTGCCGGTTTTGCAGTTGCACGCGCGTCGCTCCAGCTCCTCTTCAGTCGGTTCCGCCATGTGCGTAACGTCACCCCGCGGAGCTCGTCTCCAACTAACTAGGCGCCGGAAAGGAACGAAAAGACCTACGCACTGCCGAAACTATTGTATCGGGGTTGTTCTTAACCTCCTTTCTGTTCAATGGGCCCCGCAACCGATCGGAACCGGCGGCCCGGCAGGCCTGTGTGGCACCAGGTAGGGGTGGCGACGACAAGGCCTGACAGCCCATGCCATTACACGCGACGGCATGCCACTTACACGCGGTGGGAGGGGGGGCGCTGGAAAGCCAACCCACGGTCATATGGCACGGCTCAAACGTGGCTTATATACACTTAGGCGTTATAAGCTAACGGATGCGATCATACCAACTCACATGCACCGGATCCCATCAGAACTCCGAAGTTAAGCGAGTTTGGGCGAGAGTAGTACTAGGATGGGTGACCTCCTGGGAAGTCCTCGTGTTGCATCCCTTCTTTTTTGCTATTTTGACGTTTCGGTTGTCGTGGGCGTTTGCTTTCCGTCGTCTTATTCATCTCGCTGCCTTTGTTTCTCCGCGACCCCGTGACGCAGCGTGACAATCGGGGTAAAGTGTGCTCAAATACTCCTAGAAAGCCTAGGATTAACAGCGGAATTAAAACAGGAAAATAACGGAGTTTCCAAAAACTGTAAGAACTGGATTTCGAGCTAGTAAACGATGTCGGATGCCCGAAAAAGCCCATGAGTCATCGCATCGCAATGAGTTTTACTCGTGACGCCATTCTCTTCAAATCGAGGGTTCATGGGCCCAATTATGAGGTCGGAGCCCAGATCTGCGATTTGCCGGTTTTGCAGTTGCACGCGCGTCGCTCCAGCTCCTCTTCAGTCGGTTCCGCCATGTCCATACGTCACCCCGGAGCTCGTCTCCAACTAACTAGGCGGAAAGGAACGAAAACGAAAACATACGATGCACTGCCAAAACTATATCGGGGTTGTTCTTAACCTCCTTTCTGTTCAATGGGCCCCACAACCGATCGGAACCGGCGGCCCAGCAGGCCTGTGTGGCACCAGTGTAGGGGTGGCAACGACAAGGCCTGACAGCCCATGCCATTCCATGCAACGACATTCTATTTCACGCGAGGTGCGTTGGATAGCCAACCCATGGTCATATGTAGGGGTGGGCTCGGTTTGGTTTGTTTCGGTTTTGAGGCCAATGAGGTGGGAAACTGATCATCTCGGTTAACCAGTTACCTCGGTTTGGTTTGGTTTGGTTTGGTTTGGTTTGGTTTGGTGTAAACATGCTTGAAAACATGTAGACTCTAAAATTCATTCAAACTCAAGCATTCATTCAAAACCTGCTTGAAATTCATTCACCATTCATGTCATAACATATTCAAATTCATTCATTCAATCAATCCTTTCAATTCAAACTAAAACTAAAACATATGCATCATTCATCATTCACATCCATCCAAAGATTCAAAGTAAACCATATGCATCATTAACCATTTACAAATTACATCTATCATTCACCTTTTAAGTACAAAGTTTACAAATTACATCCATCCTTCACATTTGAAGTACAAAGTTTACAAACCTATCTTTGTAAGTGCAAAAAGTTTTTGGCAAAAGATAGGTTTGTCTCATTGACTAACCTATCTTTTGCCAAAAACCTACTTCAATCTCATCAAAAAAGAGCTCCAACTCTAAAATATTTAAGTGAGCTCATCAAAAAAGGGTTCCACATCTAAATTTCCTACTGTCTAGCCCTTTTCATTAACAAACCTATCTTGTTATGTTCAAAAACCTACTTCAATCTCATCAAAAAGAGCTCCAACTCTAAAATATTTAAGTGAGCTCATCAAAAAAGGCTTCCACATCTAAACTTCCTACTGTCCAGCCCTTTTAAATAACAAACCTATCTTGTTATATTCAAAAACCTACTTCAATATCATCAAAAAAGAGCTCCAATATAAAATATTTAAGTGAGCTCCAATATAAACCTATCGCATACAAACTGTCCAGCCCCTTTACAAACCAATTCTTCATGCTTCCTTTAATTTTTGGCAGTAAGCATTAGTAGCCAGTGGCCACTTTTTCATTTTCATTCTGTTGCAAAGTTTTAATATCTACAAGAATAGAGAACATGTAAGACAAATTCAAATATACAAGGTTAAAACAAAAAAACAAAAAAACAAAATTTTAAAAAACATAACAGCAGTGCCTAATTCCATTTTCTCCAAAGCTTGATAAAACTCAAGCTCATCTTCACTTGGCTGCTTATTGAAGTCAAAAGCCACTTGGCTTAGCCAATCCTTAGTGCAAACAAGGGCCTCAACTGTTTTAGGAGTCAAAGACGCCCTAAAAGGATCCACAACCCTTTTTCCCATACTAAATGCAGCTTCCGAAGGCACACTTGAAACAGGGACAGCAAACACATCCCTTGCAATCTTAGATAGAACTGGAAATCTTGGAGAGTTCTCTCTCCACCAATCTAGCAAATCAAAGTCTGCTATTTCTGGATCTTGAGCTGCCTTTAATAAATACTTGTCCACCGCATTCTTAATTTGAACCACGGCTCTATCTTTTCTTGTTCTCGCAAATTTTTTAAGTCTTGGATCATTGCATTCAACTCTTACCTCCCCTCCACTTTCTACATTAGCCTCTCCAATAGATTGGACAGCTACTGGTTCCTCTTTCTTATAGGCCTCATACATCCGCATTAAGAGATCCTTCACCCCATCTACCATCATAGTAACCTTCGAATCATCACTTTCTTATAGTCCATTTTGTAACGGGGATCAAGCACCACCGCCACAATCAAATCTTGGTTCACTTCTTGAATATTACCCTAATACTTATCAAACTTCTTTTTCATTGAAGTTGCAACTTTTTTCAAAAAAAATTCTTCACTTACAATCATTGCATTCAACTCATCAACAATAGAAAGCATCTCATTGAAGGAGATATTGGAAATAACCGTCTTATATGCACTAAATTTTAAGGTAGCCTCTTAAAATATTTTCAAGAACTTCACAAAAGCTCTTGCATACTCCCAATCCACAACGGTTGAAGGCTTCAACTTTTTTTTAGTGCAGATTTCCCTTTCTTGAACCTTTCTTTTCTTCTTTTTCGGAATACCATCATCACGATCACCACCACTTTGATGAAAATAAGATGCATAGTCTGCTGCCTCCTCTTCCAACCTATCAAACCCTTTTTGCAACTTTAAGGCAGCTTCTAACATAAGATATACTGAGTTCCACCTTGTTTTATACTCCAAAGGTAATAAACTTTTGCTGTCAATTTTTGCAAGGCCAAACAATGCCTAAATTTGTCGAACCTAGATGGGGACGACCTTGTATATACACAAGCTTTGTGAACGCTCTTAATTGAGTCATGCAATTCACTTAACCCATCAAAAACTATCAAATTAAGGATATGCGCACAACATCTCATATGTAAACAATCACCATCTAGCAAAAGAGTGCCCCAAAGCTTCAATTGCCTCTTCATATGCCTAATGGCCCTATCATTAGCCGTAGCATTGTCAAGTGTAATAGTGAAAACTTTATCTATTCCCCAATCATGCAAACAATCCTCCACAAGTCTCCCAATAGCCTCACCTCTATGATTTGTAATTTGATAGAAATTGATGATTCACTTATGCAATTTCCAGCTATCATCAATGAAATGGGCTGTCAAAGCCATATAGTTCACATTTTGCAAGGAAGTCCAAGTGTCCGTGGTAAGCGACACTTTTTGTGAATTTAGATTTAATACACTCTTGATTTTTACATTTTCTTCGTGAGAAAGATCCCACACATCTCTAGCAATGGTTCTACGAGATGGTGGATCAAATCTAGGTTGACACTCTCTCATAAATAGCCTAAAACCGACACCTTCCACATGCCTAAATGGAAGCTCATCAAGTATTATCATCTTCACACAAGCAATTCTACTACTCTCCTTGCTATATGAATGCGCAACTACAGTTCCTTTGTTATCAAATACAAGAACTTTTTGTTTGTTTTCCTCTCTTAATGGACACCCCCCCGTACACTTATCTCTCAAATGTTGCATCATTGTAGATGTCCCATTTTTTATGGGATCACATGCATAAGATGCACAACAATACTTCCAAGAAGCTCTAGGTCCTATATTACTCCCTAGTTCAAATGGTTCCTTAATGAAATGTTTCCATACCTCCGATGCTTTCCTAATAGGCTTGATCTTTCCCGAAGTGGGAGGACATGAAGGGAGTGTAGCTGCTCCATCCCCAACTACTTGTGGTGTATCATCTGTTGAACTTGTGGGTGTAAGACTAGCTTCCATATTTGACATTTTTAAGGCCTATAAAATGAAAAACATACTCACAAGCAAACTCGTAAACATGCCAAAAACATGTTACACTTCAAATGTAATAAACATGTACACACCAAACAGATTTTCAAAGCTATGAGTCAAAAACTTTTACTTCTTTATTATTGTTTTTCAAAACATATGTAAATTAAACCCATTGACTATAGATTAAAATTATTCACAATTGCTTTCATACAAATAAAGTAAATTGTAATTATATTATCAATTAAACTGCATAATCAAGCATTTTACATAAATTTGTTCCCTAATACTTAATAGTACACTAACCCCTTCTATCTAATAATAAAGCTAATCAAGGATAACAAATGACAGCTAAACTAGTCTTGAATTAGAGGCCTTTATGTGTTCAGGCTTCAATACACACCACATAATCATAGATATCTATAAACTATAGGCTATAGAAGTTACAATTTACAAACAAAACATAACACATATATAGGAAGGAAAGGAAACTTACCCTTGATTTTCAACACAAGCACCAGTTCAAAACTCTCCAATTTGCTAGATAAAATGTCTGCATATGCAAGAACTACAAAAATTAGGGCTATACCAAAACCCCCAATAATTAGGGTTTATAACATAAACAAAAATCACAAAACAAAAAAATAAATTGTTGAGGAATCAACTAACCTTTGCAGGAGAAACCTCGTCTGAAAAATGAGATGAGAGAGTAGAATGAGTGATGACAGACTCAGAGATGAGAGACGTAGAGATGAGAGACAAAGAGACTGAAATATGAGAGGGAGGTGCGTGTGAGTCAGGCTATGAAGAAGAGGCACCTCTGACAATGCGACGGCGCCAAGTCGATGGTGAGTGGTGGTGACGATGCGAGGTTGAGGCTGTGAGGCTGAGGCGACGTCGAAGAGGCAAAGGGGAGGAGAGATGGATGAGGCCGCACGACTGAATTAGGGATGATCGACCTAGATTAAGTTTTGAATGGCTTGGATATGCTATGCACAAGTGCAAAGAACATAAATCATAATCCAATAGAAATCAGCCACGTGTATTATAATTATTTAATTATATATAATTTAATGTACCCGATTCGGTCCGGTTCACCTACGGTTTTTAAAATTAGGGACCGAGCGCCGAACCATGAAGGCCAGTTCGGTCCGATTCATGCGCCGTTGACCAAAAAGAGGAGAAGAAAACCACACCAAACCGGACTGACTAGTTCGGTTCGACCAGTTTGGCCGGTTTTCGGTCCCATATGCCTAACTCTAGTCATATGGCACGGCTCAAACGTGGCTTATATACACTTAGACGTTATAAGCTAACGGATGCGATCATACCAACTCACATGCACCGGATCCCATCAAAACTCCGAAGTTAAGCGAGTTTGGGCGAGAGTAGTATTAGGATGGATGACCTCCTGGGAAGTCCTCGTGTTGCATCCCTTCTTTTTGCTCTTTTGACGTTTCGATTGTCGTGGGTATTTTGCTTTCCGTCGTCTTATTCATCTCGTTATGCGTGCATAGGAGTTTTTCTTTGACAGTATTACGTTGTGGTGGGTTGTTCTTTGCGGGGCTTGGAATTGTGCTTTGTTTTCGTCTGTTACAAGTTCTTTGTAGTAGTCCAAAGTGGTGTATGTCGAACTCTCGTATTAGTTCATGGCATGAGTAATATTCTTTACTACCTGCGGTTTGTTTCATGTAATTTTCCTAGGAAGATTTTAACTAGGCTACTGTATTTGTGCTGGTCTTTGCATACTTTTTTGGCTTATGAATGAAATCCTATTAAAAAAAAGAAAAAAAAAAAAAAAAAAAAAAAAAAAAAAAAGAAATAGCAAAATTACATTTTTATAGAGAACTAACAGATCTCATGTGCAATTTTGGCACTAACATATCAAATTAACAAGATCTTAATTTGAGTCATCATCGTCCCTCCTCCCTTCCCACTCCCTCCCAAAACACAACTCCAATTATTTTGGTTTTTTTATTTTATTTATTTTATTTATTTTTATTCTTTTAAATATTCACAGAAAACCACAAAAACAAATAATAAAAAAGAGAAGAAAAGGAAAGAAAAACGCAGAAAAATAAAAAATCCTAGGACTCTCTGGTCTGGACTCTAGAGACTAGAGTGAGAGAGAGAGGGAGAGAGGAGTTAAATTAAAGATTACAATGCAAGAATGGCTCAGCACAGGCAGCCAGGGATGGAGAGGTTGGGGTTACGTGGCCACGATGTCCACCATTCAAACGGCGGAGTAGGAGGAGGAGGACCAGATCACGTCGCTGTCGGGATCCGCACCACCCCGCACAAACCGGGTCGGGCCCGACGATCGGGTCGATCCGACAAGGGCCCATTTAGAATCTCTATTGGCGCCATCGTCCTCGTTCTCGCGCTAGTCTTCGTTTTTACTCTTCTGGCCTTCTATTACCTCTCCCGAAACAGCAGAGGTATTTTCCTTTTTCAAGTTTCATTTTTGTGTGTGTGTTTAATATTGGTTTGTTTGGTTCCCGGGGAAATGTAGGAAATGAAAAGGAAGTAGTTAGTTACTTGTCAATGGCGGACTTTATTTGGCTGGTGAGACAATAGAGGAAAAAGGATCACACTGTAGTTTGCTTTTTAGTTGATTTCCTATTTCCTATCTAGGTTAAAAGATCTGTGTTTGATCTTGTTATGTTTCACTTGCATTTTGATTATTTAATGACTTTGCTTGATTGTTGAGAAGATAAAGGAAAAGGATCAATCCCATTAACATTCAGATACATTTTAATTGTTTGATTCTCTTTTCCATGGTTGTTGGAACTTTTTTTTATTTTTATTTTTATTTTTAATTTTTTGTTATAAAGAAAAAGTGGTATACTTAATGCAGCAGCATCTGGTACTGGAATTATATGAATCCTAGCTTAGCATCAAGTGATTGCTTTCTTGTGTTGGTGCAGAACTAAATACTTATCATGCTGAGGAAGATGACATAAAGAATGATCCTGACTTTCTCACAAATGTGACACGCACGGAGACTTCTAAAGTCCTTAGGTTTGGGAAGGGTTCGGTAGTTCATGGTCGAGATTCTAGGTATTGGGATAAGATGATAGGAGAAGGGATGGAGATTATAATGAGGATAGTAGTGCAGGTGTTAGTGATGAAGCCACTGATAAGGGTGATGTTCATGTGAGAGTTAAAAACAGTGACAAGAAGTCCTTGAATGATGACTTTCCTAAAAGTTCCAGTAGGAAAGGTGGATTGTACAATGAAGCTGGGCGCAATGAGTTGAAAATTTATGAAGCTGAGTATGAGGCCTCTCTAAAGAATAGTCGAGAATCTAAGGATGAAGATTTGGATAAGCAAAAGGAGGTAATTGATGTTGATGACGAGTATGATGATGGGATTGATTTTCATGAAACTCACATGGATGAATATGAAGATATGGGACATCAGAATGACCATTTTGATGAAGAAAAATCACATGATGAAGATAGTGGAGAGTCCATTGATCTTCCTGATGTTGGAACTAATGATCAAAATGTTGCCAACAAGGTTGAGAAAGTCTCCACCAATTCATTTGAAGATGATCCTGTTCAGCACTCTCGAAATCTTGATGAAGTTAACACAAAGCCCAGGCATATCAGTATACATTCTGGTCAATCTTCAAAAAAGTCACGATCAACTTCAAAAAGGAAACCTAAGCGCCGGAAATATTCTGGTGACATATCTGTTTCTTGTTGCATATTTGTGTGTGTGTGTGTGTGGAAGGAACCACGTCTAGTTAATATTTATCTTCTCAATTATTGATGTTTGATTCAGCTTGCATAAGTGAATTACACTTGGCTTCTGCTTCTAGGTTAGACATTCATTTTGACATTTGGTCTCTTGCTTTCTGCATGTCATTGATTATAAATTAGAATCTTTATGCAAATCATAGAAGTGCTACTCAGTACAGACAAAAGAAAAGAGTTAGTTCTTATTGCAAATCATATAAGTCGACTTAGTACAGACAAAACAGTTCATTCTTGTTGCAACTAGGTAACTGCATACATTTCAGTATATTGGTACTATTTAGAAAGTGGCTATTTATCTGCTGCCCATATTTATTTCCTTAGTTTTATTTCCGTTAGTTAGAAAGACTAAAATGAAAAAAGATGTAGGTATTCCAAAAAAATCATGAGTGTAGTACTGAAAAACTTAAACTTCATTTACTTGAAAAGAAACCTACTGTGCTTTTGATTAACGAATCCGTACTGCTCTGTATTGATATTTGTATGTATCTTGGAATTGTCGTTAAGAGTAAATGCTGTGAGTAAGGCCATGGTGGTTTAGAAGAGCCACTTCAGTTGTTTTTAGATTTCTTGTTTCTGGCTCAGTTTCTGAAGTATTGATCTATACATATAGTTGAATGCAACATCATGACAGTAGTTGTCCTTCAATCTAGGTGCTTTAATAGGGGTTGCTCCTTATTGTTGTTGTTGTATTCTTGACATGTCATATTGATATTCTTCAGGTTCCTCTTGTGAGATGAAGTTTTTAAACTCTACTGCACAGCTTATAGAGCCTTTAGAAAGTCGAAAGTTTGCAAGGTTCAGCATGCAGTATACTCAAGCAGAGGACAAGCCTGAAGGAGAAGAGCATTGGGAACCTAGATTTGCAGGGCATCAGACTCTGCAAGAACGGGAAAATTCCTTTTTGGCAAATGATCAAAAAATAAAGTGTGGCTTTGTTAAGGGTCCTAAAGAATCCCCAAGCACTGGGTTTGACTTGGCAGAAGATGACACAAATTACATCAGCAGATGCCACATTGCTGTTATCTCTTGCATCTTTGGAAATTCAGATCGCTTGAGGATGCCTTATGGTAAAACGGTAAGGAGAATCCCTTTCCCGAGGAAAAGAAATTGTCTACTGTTTTCTTAATGATATGTTGCATTTGTTTTAGGCCATCCAAATTTCATATAATCTTTCTATCAAGAAAAAAAAAAGTAGAAATGAAACTATAAATTTCATATTGGCATATTGTCTTTGTTGAGCATTGGGCTTTTAAAAGCCATTGACACGCGTAAATACTAGTTTTGCACCATGAAATTTTAGGCTCAGTTAACTTGGTAACAAATGAAATTAAATACAATGGATGGAACTTTAACTCATAAGATTTGTTTATAATCAATTCAACCATTAGATTCAAAGTTTTAATTTTGCTCATAAATTTTCAAGCCAATCCAATACCCATAACTATACATCTATGTTGCATAAGATATTAGCATTTTGCCCGTGGATAGTTGCTGTCAGATCTGATTTTAATTTGGTGAACATTGTGTTCATACCTAAAGCTTCAAATCTAACAGTTGGTTTGACAAATAGAATGAAGAAATAAAAGAGTAGTTAATGGGGGTTGCTATAGAAATTGGGTTGTTAATGCTGTCACAAATCAGACATATCAGACCTATATCTTACATGTGTCTCATTCCAAAGATGCAAGTTGTTCTGTGCTATGTGAGAGGGCTAGGGATTTCGCTATGATTACATAAATTGGCGGATGTGGAAGAGTTGCCAAAGTTTCTAATGCACGAATTTTCTGCCATTTGTTAAGACTAGAAGGCAGCTATAAGGCTGTTCTGTTTTGTTTTTGTTTCGTTTTGTTACAATAGAAATGGGCTTGTTGTCCCTCACTTTATAGTTTGAGTTTGTGCTAATAAAAGTTTCTATCTTTTTAGAAAGAAAGTGAATCTATCCATGTTTCTAAATATTTCTCAAAGCATCTCTACATTAAGTTGAGTTATCCATTGGAAATTTTCAATACCAATGCCACTTTGAGTTTATTGTGTCTGTTAATCGATTTTTTTTTGGTTACATTGGGAGGAAAGAAACCCTGGGGTTTCGATCCTAGGTGCCAAGCAGGGGGGAAGGGGGAGAGCCACAACCACTGTGGTAACCCCCCTCAACGTTAGTCAATATTCTTTGATTTAGACATAAAGTTGTGATAAATGGCATAGACCAAAAAAAAAGAAAAACAGATAAAATGAACATTGACTCAATTGAAATTCTCTTAATTTCAGGTGTCTCGTTTGTCAAGGAAGTACGTTTGCTTTGTTATGTTTGTCGATGAAGTTACTTTGCAAACCATTTCTTCAGAAGGGCAAATTCCAGATCGGATGGGTTTTATTGGTTTATGGAAGATTGTGGTGGTGAAGAACCTACCATATACTGATATGCGTAGAGTGGGAAAAATACCAAAACTTTTGCCTCATCGGCTTTTTCCTTCTGCAAGGTGAGAATGTAACTAGTAAACTGTACTGAATTGTCATCCTCTAGGCAGTTAATTATACTTGGTAGTGGTCTTTAAAGCTTTTAACGACTATGCTAATTGATGTAGGATATGGGTGAATTGAGTATTTAGGTAGTTTAGCGGAAGCGAAAACAATGGAAAACAGAAAATTGAACAAAAAGGATAGGTCTGAAATTTCTCCTGGGGTTTGGCTTCACACCAAGTAGTCTCCAATCTCTGGAAAATAAACTTTCCTTTATATCTCAACAACTCAATTCCATAGTGAATTACATAGATGGGGTATTTATAATAATCTAACCCTAGAGTGAAAAGGAAAATTAAACTTATTCTAGGAAAGAAATCCTAATCCAAATGAAATAGGAAACTTAGAAATCCTGCCGAAATCTGGAAAAACTAAAAATCCTAATGAAATCTGGAAAACTTGGAGAACCTAGGAACTAACAAATAAATTAGGAAACTAATTAATAATTCCCTCTTCCATCTCTTTCGTTTGTAAACCCTAATGGGTTTGACAAAAATGTCCTCATCAATTCTCCCTGGCTGAGAAGAACTTGACTCTGGCGAGTTAGAATTGTAGTAACATTCCTGGAAGTCGGAATCAGCGTGCAAACATATAGACTCATCCTCTGCCTCCCTCCCGAATCTGATAAAATCAATGAGTTGTGGGAATGCTGACTGATCAGTTACACTTTTCCCTCCTTTGCTGAACGGTGATTCAATCAATGGGCAACTTACTAGTGTCATCATAGGATGAAAAATCTCACCAGACTCAACCTTAATGTCGACAACACTAGCAAGAAGTTCAGGCTTACACACTTCTTCCTTAAACTCACCTTGACCAGCAGCTTCTACTTGAATCTCCATGGTATTGTCTTGAAAATTTTCTCCTTGTTTCCAAACATCAATGGATTGACGTTCTCGAGACTCCTTTGAACAAATATTGATCATGTCAAACTTATCCACATAAGGGTGCTTGGATGCTTCTAGTTTTGCAAGACGATGATCCATGAGTCTGAATCGTTCTTTGGAATCTGCCACTTGCTTTGTTAGAGTTTCCGGCATATGAACAATCCGTTCATAGACCATTGCTGGCATGTTTGTCTTACCAACCGTAGTTGGAGCCATACACTCGACATACAATGTGCAGAAAAAGAGATTTGAAAATTTCGAACCCAAGGAAAACGAAAACCTGGCTCTGATACCAAATTTGATGTAGGATATGGGTGACTTGAGTATTTAGGTAGTTTAGCGGAAGCGAAAACAATGAAAAACAGAAAATAGAACAAAAGGGATAGGTCTGGAATCTCTCCAGGGGTTTGGCTTCACACCAAGTAGTCTCCAATCTCTGGAAAATAAACTTTTCTTTATATCTCAACTCAACTCCAAAAGGAAAATTAAACTTATTCTATAGGAAAGAAATCCTAATCCAAATAAAATAGGAAACTTAGAAATCCTACCGAAATCTGGAAAAACTAAAAATCCTAATGAAATCTGGAAAACTTGGAGAACCTAGGAACTAACAAATAAATTAGGAAACTAATTAATAATTCCCTCTTCCATCTCTTTCGTTTGTAAACCCTAATGGGTTTGACAAAGATGTCCTCATCACTAACTTGTGGATTTATACATGTTAATTGTGTAGATTAGATTATGCATGTGTACATGAGAATTATGGAATTCAGATTTCAGTTAATAAATCTTTCCAAAATAATACAGGTTTTTAAGAACACAGAACACTAAGGACTGTGACATTAAGCTAGCAATTGAAGATTTAAAGAACATTGTACAAAGAATTTGTTTTGTGCGTGTGTGTGTGTGTGTGTGTGTGAGAGAGAGAGAGAGAGATGGAAAACTTGAATCGTTACTCAAATATTCTAAATTCAGGTCTTAAAAGTCTTGAGTATTTTGAGTACAATGGGATATGGATGTGACCACTAAACATTTTCCCCTTGTCCCACTATCCTAACACGATAACCATCATAAAGGACTAACTGAAAACCCGAATACTCAACTCTAAGATCTAGACCAAAATCTAACAAGAAGCATATTACTGTAGTGGGACTTATGCTTTTGTATGTATTGCTTGTTGGATTTGTCTGTTTATTTGCTGAGTTTGTATGTTTTTTCTTAAGAAAACTAGCTCTAGTCTCAAACTATTCCATAAATTTTCAGGTATTCAATCTGGTTGGACAGCAAATTGCGCCTCCAACTTGATCCCTTACTCATTTTGGAATACTTCTTGTGGCGAAAAGGTTATGAGTATGCAATTTCAAATCACTACGACCGACACTGTGTATGGGAAGAGGTTGCACAGAATAAGAGATTGAATAAGTATAACCATACCATCATAGATCAACAATTTGCATTCTACCAGGCTGATGGCCTGACAAGATTCAACGCCTTGGATCCCAACAAGCTTCTTCCCAGCAGTATGATTTTGTTCAAAAGACATTTTCATTAAAATATTATGGCTGCAATGCACTTTCCTATACCAGTATATGACATAATTTGTCTTATCGCATCTGCAGATGTACCAGAAGGATCTTTTATTGTCCGGGCACACACTCCTATGTCAAATTTGTTTTCGTGTCTATGGTTCAATGAGGTTGAGCGGTTTACTCCTCGTGATCAGCTAAGTTTTGCATATACATACCAGAAGTTAAGAAGGATGAATCCTGGAAAACCTTTTCAGCTTAATATGTTCAAGGTGAAAATTTCTGCAGATTATTGTTTATAGCCAAAATGAAAGTAAAATACATGAATAATTTGAATTTAATTGGATTAACTGTAAGAATTACCTCTCCACATCACAATCAACATGAGTGGATAAGGATGCTTGGATCCCATATGGATAAAGACTAAGGAGTATTCTCCTTACAAGCTGAGGTGGGTGAATCCCAATTTACAAGTCAAATAGTGCGTTTGCCACCTCAGTTTGTAAGGAAGAATGACTCTTTAGAAGCCAATCATTTTTCTATGGAGAATAGAGAAAAAAGAGCACGGATTGGATCTAACAGTCTTTATCTGGGTTCATCAATATTGCAGGATTGTGAGAGGAGAGCCATAGCTAAGTTGTTTCGGCACAGGTCAGACGAGAAGCAGAATATTCGGCAAAAGGCAACAGAGTGAATCTCTTCTAGATTGGCTGTGCTGTAACCTGCTTTATATGACTCTCGTTTGGTCACACTTTTCACTGTTTTTGTGCCGACTGTCTCATGGTGAAAGAAGTCTATAACGATGCCGAACTTTTTTTTCAGAGAGTTCTCAGGGGCGAAGTAAGCACTGCAGTAGTTGCTTTTACTACCACGCTGAGTGCCTCTTCAGGAAAGAAACTTAACTCTGCATGCAAGCTGCATTAGCTTTGTTGTATTCATCCCATTTTTTCATTCATTGATCCCTCTGGAGGCAAGTAGGAATACCTCAAGTAGGAATATCCAAATCATAGTCCCATGTATTTTACAGCAAATGGATATTGCGGTTTTGTTGTTTCTGTAATGGGTCATTCAAGCATGTACAATATATAATTTTTTTTAGGCAATACAATTTGATAATTGATTTCTCTGAATTGACTTTGTTGAGTAATTGGCTGTATTTTACTTTGGTACTCATATTTTGGTTTATTTTGTGCAATGTGATTTGATTTCTACTTTTCTAAAGATAGTTTTACCTACCTGGCCAAAAAGTTAAAAAACAAAAACAACTTACCCATATTCTGGTTTAATTTTACCTGTCTTTTCTAAAGATAGTTTTTGAATCAGTCTACAAATCCAAGATAGTGTACATTGTGGAGTTGCACATGATTGGTTTGATAACTATTATGGCATGTTTGACATCGTGTACATTGCGGAGTTGCACACGATTGGTTTGATAACTATCATGGCCTGTTTGACATCGTGTACATAGCTTAGTGGTAAGAGCATTTGCAGCACTCTCAGGTTCGAACCCCAATTACACCTTCCCCATCCCCTCCCAAACTTTGACCCCAAAAAAAAACCACAATAATGGCATGTTTACTTGGGAGTGGAAAGAACGAGTCACTCCCATTCAAGGTCATTCTAGTGTTTACCAACACTTAGGGAATCAAAACAAGAGTGAAGCCCGCAGAAAATCAACAACCACACTACGAACTTTTCACGATGAGATTTTATGAGAGTTATTTATACTAACACCCTTGAGTTTTGTGGTGTCTTCATAAAACCCCCCGAGATTTCTAAAATTAAACAAACACCCCCTGAAATTTCAAATGGTTTTCACAAAACTCATTTTCGTTGATTGTTCGTTCAAAAATTGATGATTTCCTAAATAAACAACTTGTGCAAATAACAAATTTAATCTCAACGAATGTATATATAATTTAATCTTAAAGGGTAATTATGTTATTTGGAAATTTTTTATATATATAAAATCATCAATCATTTGGAAATTATATATATATATATATATAATCATCAATCTTTGGACCAAAAATCAACGGAAAGGGGTTTTGTGAAAATAATTTAAAACCCCAGGCGTGTTCGTGTAATTTCTAAAACCTCAAGGGGTTTTGTGAAGGAAAAAAAAAGTCTCAAAGGGATGTTAGTGTAAATAACTCAATCTATGGTGATGCGTAATATTGTGAATGATGGTGATCATGTACCATCAATAATCCATCTTTTCTACCAATAACACCCTCATATTGTTATGATATATAGTTTCCAAAAGAGTAAAGATTTTCCCTAATATTGTGAATGCTGGTGATCATGTACCATCAATAATCCATCTTTTCTACCAATAATACCCTCATCTTGTTATGATATATAGTTTCCAAAAGAATAAAGATTTTCCCTAACCCAAACAAACAGCTAACTAATAATACCCTCATATTGTCATTAAAAAGATGAACACATATCGATTTGCCTATTTTTCTCAGGGTTGACTAATGAAAACTTGTGTTATGAACAATGATGAAACGATTGACAAATAATACAATGATCGCCAATCATTTTTTATTACTTATAAATATATTGTAAGTAATAAGTCTAAAATACAATAGAAAATTCTATTTTAGCAAGGTGATAAATCATTTCAATGGAGATCAAATGAAAAAAAAAAAAAAAAAAAAAAAAAAAAAAAAAGCAGAGGAGGAGTAGAAGTAATGCCTAATAGAGGTACTGCACTAAGGACAATCGTCTAAGAGGCAATCAATCAAGACAATCAAGTGTGTTCCGGCTTCCCGACAGATATGCGAACATAACCACTCAACTCTTTGTTGTTGTAATGACGAATCATCACACCCATTTTTGCAAGGTCCTCCTGCATCAAAATTTAAACCTCGCTATAAACGTTAGCTTTATGCAAGTTTCAGTGGTGTTTTTCTGGGCCTACAGTGGATCAAACCAATGTGCATGGCACATGATACAACCTCAAACTGACTTAGGTAAACACCAAACTGTACAAAGCTATCTTTGTGATTTAGACTTCTTTTCACCTGTTAAATCTTTTTTGGGGGGGTGGTGGTGTGTTAGCAGGGTCATTCGTTTGAGAATTAAAATGGGGGAAAGCACTGGCAATCTAGAGAAGATTATCATACCCAAAAAAAAATCTAGAGAAGATGGGGTGGAGTTCTAAGCATCACTTCTAAAGCTAAGATTGCATCATACAATCCTTAGCAAAAACCTTCAAAAGTTCTATTATTGAATTAGATGAATTGTGGCTTTCATAACTAGTCCAACACGAGTTTACACTACAGCACTCAAACGTAGCAGAATGGCTAAAACTACTATAGGGTTGAATTCCTTTCCACTCTTCTCTTTTCTTTCTTCTCACTCTACTACTGAAACCCTAATAATATGCATTGCTCGAATGCAATAAATTGGATAAAGAACCTCAAATTTACGAAGATGATGACACAATGCTATATGAAGGAAAAGATGAAAAAAAATACCTTCAGCTTCTTAGCATCCATTCCTGATGTAACCTCACAAAGAACGAAATTGGAATAGCTTGGATATGGGTTGAGAAACGGCAGCTCCTTTACAAGGTTATAAAGCCTCTCCCTTTCTTGTAGCAAAGCTTCTTTCGCCATCTGGTTTATTTGGCAACCCATATCAGATATGGTGATAAGCACAAATGATACCTTCTAAGACCTGGTCTTAAAATACTTGAATTATTATCATTCACAGGCATGGGATTAATCCTAAGAATCATAACCTCGAGATAGGTGGGGTTCTCCAATGCTGCGCAAGCAGAAACTTCAGCAGCAACAGACACAGTATATGGTTGCTTTGCTCGCCAAAGATATTCAATGATGGTCAATGGAAATGCTCCATACCCAACGCGGAGTCCAGCTAAGCCTGCACCATTTGCCCATTCCCAAAAGAATTTAACCATTTATATAAAAGTTGAAACTAAGAAACTAAAACATTTACAAAATCAATTCAAAACTGAAAAAACAATTAACATGAAAATATGACAAATCAACTTTGGCAAACAACCCTACACTCATTGTTAAATTCACAACATCCATACACATGAAACATTAAAATGACATGCATGCAATAGCATCAGTAAAAGCAGCAATTTATAGTTCGAATCTGGAATCTGGCAGAGAAATTAAGTTTCTCTCTTAAAAAATTTAATAATTTTACCCATTCAAGTTTTGAGTTACCCTTTATAAGCATAAACTTGGCTGGCACTGTGACACAACTTCAAGGCATCACTACTGGACGAACAGATAAAACGATTTGAGACATTTATGGGGTATTGCAGCAATCATAATTTAATACCAAAACAAAAGAAATTAAAGAACACCAGCTCGTTTGCTAAATGTCCGAAGAACAATTAAATTTTCATACTTTTTCACACACTGATTTTCATACTTTTTCACCCATTGCAACCTCGATTCGAGGCCTGAAAACTCAATATATGCCTCATCCAGCACCACCAATATAGGAAGCTCAAGGACTTTCAAGAGAATCTCGTCACTGATTATACTGTCATAAAATAAGTAGAGCATGAAAATATAATATCCTAGTGTGAAATACAGATTCTAGAACAGTCTGCACAGTTTTTAAATCAGTATAAACCAAATTAAATTAGTCTAAAGCATAGAGGACAATTAAGAGTGATAAACAATAAAAGAAATCAAGAGCCAGTTTTATCAAGATTTTCATAAACCAAAAGGCAATTCTACTTATAAGACTTCCAATATGTCTGACATTATTTACAGCTCATCATACTAACCTTAAATCCAAGTCAAACACCAATATCATGTCAATTTCTTGCTTGATAACTTTCTCAGCGAGACAGCTGGAAAGATTCTTATCCTTTCCTTTTTGCTCAAACAAACAGGCATGTTTCCTAGTTTCACCAGTAGTTTTAACAAACCGATACGCATCCCGAAAATTGGCCATATGAGACTCCAAATGTGCACTTGCTAGGGTTCAACTTCATGTGGTATTTTCGGAACAGTCTGAATGCTTCAGTAAGATTCTTGATGTGATCTGCTCGTCGGGGAACTTTGACTAGCATGTCATCTACGTAGACAGCCATAGTCTTGCTGATCTGCTCTTTGAAAATCTTGTTTACGAGCCTCTTGTACATTACTCTGGCATTCTTCAGCCTAAATGACATGTTTGGGCTTTCCAAATTTTGTAATTTAGGTTCACAAGTATTCAAGGTACAATTGATTCAACTAAAGCAAGTTCTTGTCATAGCATATATCCATAAGAGGAAACTTGAAAATGAAATGAAGCCCCATGAAAACATGGTCCTTCCATCCAATAATCCAACCAATTGATCCAGATTTGATACCATTGCCTAGCATAATAAACATCATGGAGTAGGAAAAAACTTAACAAGATGTTAGTGTGCATCAATGACAGTTCGGACTGTTAGATGTAAGTAGATCTAAGGGCTTTGTCAAAAAAGAAAATGGGAGCTTCACTATTATATCCAATATAAGGACCCAAATTATATTTATAAAAAAATTTATAATTTTAAAAAAAAAAACATAGATGAAATTGACTTTAGAAACACATCCAAACCCATTTGCAACATAACAAAGAGGCTTCAAAGTTCTAATAAATTACAAAATTACCATCAATTTTCTTAAAACAAATACAACTCCAAAACTTCACCACATAAATAAAAAATAAAAAATAAAAAATCCAAAACACTCAAAACAAGCCCAACTCACATTTAAAAAAAAACCCAAACGAAAAAAAAAGAAATTAATAATGCAAAAGCAAAGCAATCACGCAACCCAAGGAGTCATTATGGCTGTTAATATACCTTCTACAACTATTAATACATAAACCAATCACGCAACCAAAACTGACTGTTAATACACATTTTACGACTATTAATACATTTAGTCAATACACTTTATATGTGTTAATATATTTTTTTATGAATCTTAATACACATTCTACAACTGATAATACACATTTTACTACTGTTAATACGCATTCTACAACTATTAATACACTTTTTTTATGACTATTAATACACAATCAAGATACTACAAATTACGTAATACTTATTACAGCATTAACTTATTATGCGAATCACGAACATATATTATGCAATGCTTCGTATTGTAACAACCCGTCACAAATCTTCTTATTAATTATGAAATTTTAGCGTACGTTAACAGTTTTGCTCAAGAATTTCAAGCTATTTTTGTTTGGCACTAATTTCGGAAATTTTATTTACATCAGGACATTGAGCTCGTCTCCACGAGCACATAGGGGCAAACGGCACGTAATTTGAAGTTCAAACGAGGAAGTTAAGTTGGTTTAAAGTTCTAGGGTTTTTTAAAAAAAAAAAAAAAAAAAAAAAAAAAAAAAAAAAAAATTAAAATATGAAAAAGACGAAAGAAAGAAAAAAACAAAAGGGCGGCAGGGCTGCCCTTCATTTTCCAGCGACTTTTCGGCACCGTCCATTCATATTTTGTCCACGAGTCCTGCACAGAAGTTGCTCGTCATACCCTCCCTCTATCATCTCCTCAAAAGACCCAACCCAAAAGGCAGATGTTTCCATCCAATTTTGGCTGTAAAATCCAGCGGTCGCGCAAGTGTAGCAGCACGACCAGCCAGCTTTTGGTTTTTAGGCCGATACATTCATCTATTGCTGGAACAACTTTCTAGTTGACGACACCTTCATCGGAGAAACACAGCCGCTGATAGAGGGCTCCAAAGTTCACTATGGCAGAGACCACAAATTTAAATATCAAAATAAGAATTAAAAACCAAAAAACAAAATTTGAATCCAAATTAGAAGAAATCCAAAAAAATCTCACCTAAAGCAAGGGCAATATAGGTACTTTAGATACTAAGTAAACTAATAAACTTACCAATTGGCCAATTTTTGGTTTGTTTATATAAATGGTTTTGAGTTTCTTTATGTTAGTAGTGGCCTAAATGTGTATGGTTATAAATTTGTAAAAGAAAAAACCCATGTCCCAGGATCCTGACCCTTAGAAGGTACAGAAAACAATTCATCAGCAGCATGTGACCTGGAAAAAAATAATTACATTCAAAGTGTGTAACCAGCTCCTGTAACTATAAACTTCCTTTTATTGCCTCAGAACATCTAATATTTCTTTCTTGAACAGTAATTCCGGGAGAGAATAAAAATTTGCAGATACGAAAGATAATAAACAAAAAGCCTCCTCAAACACCCCAACCTCATGTGAACCATAAACTTGATTGTGCAACTATTCAAATTTCAGCAGTATGTACAAGCTAGATGTATTGACCTTATATGCCATCACCATCCTGACAAAACATTAACATACTAAAAGTTTCATCGTTACCGAGACAAAGATTACAGTTTTCTGAAGATACTGATAATGCCATTCGCAAATGACTTCATATTCCCCCATAGAGTTGATTTACTTGAAGGCTCTGCATCATCAGCCTGCCTACCAGGAAGGTCTCTGCAAAATGAATAATTGTGTATAACATTTTACGCAGAAGAATATATGGTTCCAAAAAATAAAGAAATGATGGGATACTTTTAGGTGAAATAAAAGAATTCAAGACATGCCCATAGAACATAAAGCTAAGTAGATTAGACATATTTCATATGGGATTAGCCTATTAAGGCTTCAACTACATATGATTCTTGTATAATGACCCTTCGCCATGGCAAACAAATGTGACAACGCAATAACTAGGTTGATTGGTTTGCTAACTATTGACTCACCCACAATCCAGGGCTGGTGGTTGAGTGGTTCATTAACATCCACCAACCAGAGTAGAAGAGGTAAGATACCAAAGTAAGATTTGAGTTACTAAACTTAACTGCTGCCTGATGCACACGGAATACAGCCAGCCTCAGAGACCAAACTAGAACTCATTCAAATAGACCCACCTAATCCAAAAATGAAGACCAATCCAGAAGAATCATATCAGAAAATACAATCCTGTCATGCCAACTCCTCTTCTCTATCTTCAGAGAACCTTTTGTTCTTCTCCCACCAAACCACCCAAGTAGATGCCAAACAGCACAGTTCCTAACCATGACATATATCTTCAAAAGATACAAAGATAAGACCATTGCAAATTAATGTCTGGGATCTTGACATCAAGCTACTCACACCACCTTTCAAACTCTGCGAGAGAGAGAGAGAGAGACAGAGACAGAGAGACAGAGAGAGACAGAGACAGAGACAGAGACAGAGAGACAGAGAGGCAGAGAGAGAGAGTGTGTGCAACTGCAAATCAATTTGCTTGATATCTTAATATCAAGCCATTCACCTTTATCTTGGATAAACAAACAAGAAACCAAATCATATTATTCTGTACATTCTTGGTGGATTGCTTGCCCATGTTACTCTACAGTTTCTCTTGTGAAATAAAAATTTCATCTTTTCGTTTTTTTTAAAAAAAACAGTAATCTTCCAGTAGACACATGTATGAGCAAAAGGAGAAAAAGAGGGCCACAAGGTTAAAAACAAATAACAAAAAAATAACAAAATAACAACAACAAAAAAAAACAGAATAGTGACCCCCACTAGTAGTATCAATAGAGAAGATGTTAAAAGGTAATCTGGGGTCATAACTCAGAAACACAGACCCACAAGAATAAATTCCATTTCACACATTAATTGCACATGAATGAGCAGCGCACAGTAGTCAGTTCAGAAGAATAGTTCAGGCGTGATCTTTGAGCTCAGATTGTAGACAGTCAATTTCAGTTATTTTCTTCATACCTTAATTGAACATGAATGAGAAGCACGCTGAGTCCAGAAGAATAGTTGATCGTAGCACTTCAACTATTACCATATGCATGACAATCTAAGCTAATCATGGTATGAGAACCCAGGATGGCCCAGTTCTGTTTAGTTGTGTAGGATCAAGCAGGCACATTCAACTTTGTACTTACAATTTTAACCACTCATCTTTGAATTGGACATTTTACTATTGTGCACTCATTGACTGCTGAAACTTAAACAAAGTGCGAAGTCATTTGCTTATAAATATAGTAAAGTTATAGAATAGTAAGCTGAAAAGGAAGGGTTTGAGCAAATGGTTTCAAGGTCTTTCCTAGCATGTTAAACGGGTAAAATAAGTTGAGAATGGCGGAACTGGGGACTAGAGTGGATGAATACAAAAACATTTGTGTTGATTATGGTTCCAATTAATAAAGAAGCCGAATCTATAAACTAATGATGCACCTATCTCCAATGTTTTATCTTTCTGTCTGTGGTGCCAGCCTCCACAGCTTAGTGTGTCCAATACCATGTTTTAGCTCTATAGCAGCAAGCATACAACAAATGTCTATGATTTTCATGTGAGCACATCTTAGGAGCAAAAATACATCATCACATTGCTTGTGGAATAACAGCAGGTACTGCAATGTCAATGACAATGACATTACTAAGTTAATAACATACTGTACAAAAGAAACTTACTTGGGAAGTTTGTCTGGCTGAGGGATCTCTTCATATTTCTCTCTTTTACACTTTGAATCTTCTAAGGCATGTTCTTGTTTTTTCATATCCTGTGTATCACCAAAACTTGGAGGAGAGGCTTTATTAGCCTCCCCTATTGGCAGATCTTTTTCTTTTGCAACAAAATCTTGTTTGTCAGCTTCAGCTTCCGCTCTTTCACTATTCTCAGATTTGCCAAATGGATGAGAAACAACCTCTAATCTTTCTTCTGACAATTGACATTCTTTAGAAATAGAACCAGAAAGATTCTGCTTAGCTTCCTCCTTACCATTACTAAGTTCATCAAGGTCTTTATAAGAAGATTCCACAGAATCCACTTTCAGCAAATTACTTTGTGTTGCAACAAGATCAGAATCACTTCCCTGCAAGAAAAAAACACAAAAGATATAACTATAAGTCTACTAATATGGAACATCTTCCATGCACCGAAGAAGCAAAAGAAATTTATTTATGGTATAAACATGATATTCGACATGCATGAAAATTTTAAAAGAATCAGTGAGCCAAGGTTTAATGAAGAATCTAGCCATGCACCTCAAATTCGAAGAACTTGTGATGATAATAGAGATGAGAAGAAGAAAATAATGCTTAATATAAAATTCATGCAAGAACATGAAGAAGACTCAGGATGCAACATTTTTGTATGCTTCTACAAAGGTTATAATGCATAAACATAAGTTATTAAAAGTTTACTACAGTACTGTAGCCTTAGTCTTGCATTAAGTTGAAATTTAAAAGAAGAAACAAATAATATAGTGTTGTTGATATAGGAATTCATATACTAGGACAAAAATATGAGTGGTAAGAAAACAAGCCAAGTGATTCACATTAGGCTCCAGACAAATGCCATTTAAACCTCATTGAACACAAGCCATGTGCAAATTTCATTTTTTTTTAAATCCAAATAGGATATTATTGGAATCTGAACAATGGAAATATAAAGAATAAAACCAAAATTTGATTAATGCCATACACTTACTCGAGTGATAACCTCTTCAGACAAGATCTCAACTGAGGAGGAAGCCTGTGCCTCTTCCTTGGCTTCTAAATGCCTGCCACTGGCATCTGCTGACACCCCATAGGTTGAATTATCTTCAACTCCAGTCAGAGATTCAATTTCTCCAACTTCTTCTTGTCCTGGAAGATCAATGTCATATGTCTCTGCGGACACCTCAGAGATTGAATTCTCTTCACCTTGAGTCAAAGATTCAATTTCACCAACATCCTCTTGTCCTGGCAAATCAGCATCATATGTCGCCTCAGAATCAGTTTGAGTGCTGGCATGTGCTGACACCTGACTGTTTGAATTCTTTTCAACTTGAGCCAAAGATTCAATTTCTCTAACTTCTTCTTGTTTTGGCATATCCGCAGTTACGGGAGACCAGGGAGACATCTTAGCTTCGTATTGTAACTCCTGAAGGATGCTCTTTACCACATAGTAAGAGCCACCCAGTTCTTTCTGAGCACATGAAACAGTAGGGAATGCCCCAGCATTCATTGCTCTGTACCTGAAAATAATGACCAAAGTATCTTCACTTAAATCCCTAATGATAGAAACCCAAAATGAAATTGCAACATTCTACAGCTTATTCAATTTCACCAAATTAATCAAAGCTCAAATTCATGACAAAACTCTCTAAACAACAAATGTCCATATAAACAATCAAGATCAGCATTTCAAAAGAACAATCAAGACCAAACACTACAATATTCATATAATATACTTACTTGTTGACAAAGGGTTCAAGCATAGCTTGGCGCTCCGCTTTGGAAAGCCTTTTCCCTTTAACTCTGCGGACATTTGGGTTTGGTGCTTCTGCCACTGCTTCTGCTTCTGCCTCTGCATCTGCCTCTGCATCTGCCTCTGCAGCTGCAGCGTTAGCGTTACCAGCGTACGGCCTTCCACGCCACCCACTCAATAAAACTGCCAAAACCCACAAAGAAAGAAACACAAATAATCTTAATCACACCATATTTTTCACGTACTCTTTCAAAAAATTTATATATATCTGTTAACTAAGAGAAAAGAAATTACCAGATTTGTTGAGGTGCTTGTGGGAGTTGGAGTAGGAAAAAGTGAGGCTTCTTCGTAACATGCTCTGTGGCGGTGCATGCCCTATCTCTACAAGGATACAAGTACATCCATGGAAAGTAGGATTTGCATGTCGCTCTGTCTGATTGTCTAAAGCCTTTGATTTTCTCTGAAAGACAAGAGGAGAGAGAAGAGAACTCAGAGGAGCGAAGGGTTTTAGGATGTTTTTGTTTTGTGGGTCTCATCAAAGTTCAAAAGAAAGAGACGAGAACAAGAGGGGCTTCGGCTGTAATAAACACCGTTTTGGACCAAGAGACTTTCAAGTTTGAATTCGTCCATAAGGCCCATACTTTGGAAGGGTTATTTTGAACCTTTTCTTTGCTCTATGCACCCAACTTTTTAATGAATTTTACCTTTTTTTTAGGGCAATTTTAAAAACATAATACTCAATTAAAATAAAATCTGATTGTTTGGATTAATTTCTCCATATAATCATTTTGGCTTATTTACAGCAATGCCTCTTAAAATTCCGGTCAAAACTCACTTTGCCTCACCAAAATAGCCTATTTCTCCCTCTTTAAGAGCAACTCCACCCATTTGCCCTTAGCCATGGCAAGGGGGGGAGCTAGGGCAGCCACTATTCACGTGAATAGTGGTTGCCCTTGCAAAATCCGAATTTTGTGTTTCCACCCGTTGCCCTTGCTAAGGGCAGTTACTATTCATTTTTTTGTTTTATTCACAACTTTTTTTACCTCAATAATTAATTTGGATAATATTTTCGGATAAGATTTCGGGTTCCTACGTGTCAATACTATTCATATCTCATAATCGGATAAAATTTTCAATTTCAAATTTCAGATAAATTATAAAAAAAAGGCTGGTATTTATAGAAAAAAATTCATTAATTTTTGGGTATTTTTTAAAAAATTTTCCGAATTTTTTCCAGTATTTTATTGCAAAAAAATTGGCTGCCGTTGGATTGGAGGAAAAAATCAGATCGGAGAGCCCAGACGACGCCACGTGGCAACAGGAAAAAAAATCAAATCAGCGAGGTACTGTAGCGGGGCACTGTAGCAGTACTGTAGCGTTACTGTAGCAGATACTGTAGCGCTACAGTAACCCCCCTCGTTTTGGACCTCGGGTAAGACTTGCCTTCGGGCCAGCCCGAGGAGGTGGGTCCCACACCCCCCCCGGGCCTGGGCTGCTCCGCTGGAAAGCTTTTTTTTTTTTTTTTTTTTCCCTCCCCTTGGGCTTGGGCTCCAGCGGTGGAACCGCTCTAACAAGGGAGTCCGAATTCACTGTCCCTAAATTGGTGTTCCCTCCATGTCCCTCAATTCAACAGAACTTAAACCTTGTGTAACACTGTTAAGTTAAACGACATTAGAAAAACTAAAAAATAAAAGAAAGAAAACAAAAACAACCCAGCATAGTCACAACCTACCCTAAAATTCTTACAACCACCCATTCCAAGTACCCACCTCAGCAGGAACCGCCTCTCCTCCCCGCGACTGGGCAACCATTCTTCTTGTCTCTCTATGTCCCTCTTTTCTCTCTCTTTTCGAATCATTGACACAAGATTCAGGTCAGCTAACAAGATCGCATCTAGAGTCAGCCCATGGCATGTGCAGGCTATGCGACCGCATAGGGCCCCCAAAATTTAGGGGCCTCCAAATGTTTTTAAAAGCCCAACATTATATTATATTTGTGGGTATGTGTAGTTTTTTTGTATGTAAAGGAAAATTGAATGGATGTGAGTAGGTGAAAATAGACAAAGGATGATCTTGATTCTATTTGTGGGTTCTAACGTAATTGATATCACATATTTTGGTTTAATTTATGAATTTTAAAATTTGAAAAATTGTTAATTTACTTATACATATAGGGCCTCATCAGCTTTCTTCGCACAGGGCCTCCATATTTAATGGGCCGGCTGATTTAATGGGCCTCCATATTTAAGCATTGGCCAAGGAGTGAGGCTGATTTGGTCCAGAACAGTGGCCAGATCGAGAATGAGGGGGTGTTGTTGCTGTTGAATCCGTGAGATTGATGTGGGGATCAAATTTTGTGATGGGGTTTTTTGGTTTTATTGAAGGATTGCAGTTTCTGGGTCAAAAATGATTTCATGGTTTTGATCAAAGTGCAAGATTTCTAGGTTTGGATTCAAAGCAAAAGATTTTTGGATTTTGATTCAAAGTGCAAGATTTATGGATTTTTATTAAGAGATTGTGGAAGAGAAAAAAGGGTGGTGGAAATGAGGAGGAGAGGCGTTGCCGCCATTGAGATTAGGGGGGAGTCGTGACCTGGGTGGCTGCCGTGAAGTTTTTATTTTCTTTTTACATTTTAGTTTTTATTTTTTATTTTTTTATTATAATTTATTTAAGTTAACAGTGTTAGATTGGGGTTAAGTGTTTGAACACATGTCAAAAAATTAGGCATGGGATATAGAGGGACAGGGAAACTGGGGACAACAGATCTTCTCCCTGACCAAGGTTTGATGTTCCACTTTGCCTCATGATGTCAACTTCATTCAAAAGTCTGTTAACTTCGATGACATGAAAAGGATGTTTTGTAATTTCGTATATATGGACCAATTGAGTGGGTGACGTGGCAAGTGAAGTCCACCTCCACATAGATAAAAACATAATTTAATATTCTAATAATTACAATCCTTCACCACCACCACAGCTTGATGCTCCCCCCAAATCCGATTCAATTTTCCTGTTACCAAATCCCTCATGCACGCCCCATGTTTCCTTATTATATTTTTGACACAAATCATATGACTAAATAGAAATTTAACATTGTTAACAGTATTTCAACACAATAATTTTGAAGAAAAAAACACACAAGTTCCTCATCGTCATCTCTTTCGTTCACCACTGCCACCTCCATGTCACCACAAATCATGTCGTCCATCTCCAGTACCACAACCATTCACCTTATCATCTATGCATCTCATTGTTCTTCCTTGCTTTAGCACTTTTTTGATTTATTTTCTATTTGATTCTCAAAGTTGTGGCCAAATCTAAAGAAAAAGTTGTTATATTGTTATGTTATATAATTGATAATTTTAATGTTTTAAATTATATAAAGGTAAGTACTCTTTTTTTTTATTAATTTTTGGTCCATACTAGAGGTGGGTTCCACCTTACCACATCATTAAGATTGGTGGATAATGGTTCATGTGTACGAAGTTACGAAAACAGTATTATCACGTCATCGAAGTTAACATACTTATGGTTGGAGTTGACGATATGGGGCAAAAAGAAACATCAAACCTTGGTCAACGTGGGCCATTTGAAGTTTCGGGGGGCATTCTTAAGTATTTCTAGGTCATAGAAGTGCTCTTTGGAGAAGCATGTGATATGTGCTTCTTCATGAAGCACTCCTAAATGCTTTTTCAGGAAGCACTCTTAAAATGCTTTCTTATGAAAATTTTAACATCTTTATAATAAAAGCACTTTTATTAGAACCACTTAAGAGGAGAACTGCTTCCTAGAGAAGCAGTTTTAAACGAACCCTAAGCGATTATGGGAAGAATTTGTTTGTGATAATATGTTAGGTGTGTAAAGCTTCATGGGATGTGATTCAATGTGGTTGTGAATTTGATTTGTTTGGGGTAGCGGTAGGCTTGGGTGGCTGTGATGGTGGTTGGGTTGGGTTATAAGGATGTGGTGGCTGGCTAGAGTTGGGCAATTGGGTTGGGAAGAGAAGGGGAGAGACAGGTTTTATTTTAATTTTAAAATTTAATTTTTTAAAATTTAAATTTAAACTGTTTATTTTAAAAAGGAATGAATTTTTTAAATAATTTGTAGACCGAAATGCCCTCAATAAGTAACGGCAATTAGAACAATTTAGCAGAAATTGGGCAATGTCCTCAAATTGCTTGGAATTGAAAACTAGAAAAGTGAAAAATTGAAACCACGTGGACCTTAGTGGTGAAAATGATCAACCACATGGACCAAAAAAGATTTTTTCCCATTACCAATTATCAAGGTATTCTATCTACTGTTCCATTTATTTATAGGGGCTATTCTCTCTAGAGCACTGAGCTACTTTAATTGGCTCTAGAATAAGGAATTTTGAGTTTTTCCCCTCACGTCGTTTTCAGTTATGGGTTATGACTGATTTAGTACTATGGGCCCGACATCTACTGGATGTCGGACATACATAGTGCTTCTCATGGGTTCTAAACAAAAAGGCTAGGTCTTGCCATTGTGTTGGGCATGCCCTATCTTAAATAAGCTAAGCACCAAGGTCTAAAATATTAATGATATCGGAAATTTTGGTAGTCCCAAAACACAGAAATTTTGATGGAAATATCGGGATATTATTGTTATCGGTAAAAATTGAATAAAAACCACTGAAATTATAAGAAAAACTTAGAATTTTTTATTGAAACTTTGGATGATGTTTATTTAGTCAATTATTTATTAGTTTATCACAAAAAATTGAGAGAAAATGCATTGCATGATGGGTTTAACTAATTTAAGTTAATTATACAGCGATTTGACAAACACTGTGAGTGTAGAAAATATGTAGTAATTAATGAATGAAGATTAAACACATCATAATCATTTATATATAATATTTTACTATAATATTTTACACTTTATTCATTGCATGGTAAGATACATGAGTGATTTTGTACCACATAGAGTTCCTATGAGATTCAAATTTTTCATTATCTTCATCATCTCCATGTGAAGAGTAGTCATCAAATGATAAATCCCCAAAATAGTTTTGCATGTAATTGTTAACATGCCACCCATATGGATCCAAAATTTGTTGACATTGTCCATAAAAAAAATCATTAGAAGATTGGGTCTCGGATTTTTTCCAAGAGCCACTCGATTCCATCCCAAAAGGGAAAGGTCAAAGACTCACAGTCTCATGTGTAAATCTAATTTTTGCAAAAACAGTTCAAAACAAAACAATAAAAGTATACATATTTTAACATATTATCACAAAAACATAAGTAACATGGTGGTTAAGGTATTGTAGGAGTGAAATGGCAGGGGTTTGAATCCCCTTTGCATGTATGCTTTGTGTGGTTTTTTTTTGTTGTTTTTTTTTCATTTTTTTCTATTACGTCAATATTTTCAATATTTTCGATATTATAACGATATTTGACAAAATATTGCTGAAGTGTGAGCGAGATTATCGACATCGATATTTTCTGATATTGTCGATATTTATATGATATGTGTATGGATACGTTCTGAAATATATATCCGTGACTCGAAAAAACGATAATATCCTCAATATTTTGTCGATATTATCAATATTTTAGACTATGCTAAACACAAGCCCTACCTAAAGGCGAAGAATTTTTGGATATAATGAGTCGGCCTTGGCTAGGCCTATATGGTCCTATTATATTTATAAGTACAAGAGATAGTCTATAAAGGGTTTCTCATACATACGCACACAACTAAGATGTCATGGGGTTCGAACCTGAGACATCTGGTATGCAAATCAATACCATTTTCAACTAGGCTAGACCTCGTGGGCAATGGTTCTATCATTTTATAATCATAATAAAGTTAAACTTTTTTTTTATCAAAGAGAAACTTTATTATACTTCAACAATACAAGTAAACACATGATATATAAAACATGTTGAAGAATATAAGTCCCACACCAGAAATTTGACTAAATAAAATACAAGATATAATGAATGGTTTCTCTACTAATATCACCGAGGCTTTTTGTGATAAAATCTCACACCTACTAGGCTTTGTAGGTGGTTAAGTTGGGGACAATATCAGTGTTGTTAGTAGTTGGCCGCTGACTCGTCTCTCTAAAATTTAACATGGTATCAGAGCGGATTGAATGACTAAGCCTGAAATATTAGACCTTTACCCATACACCTTACACAATATGTGGCGGTCACATGTTGGCCTTCAATGTTTACCCTTAGCCCTTACTCAATACGTGGTGTTCACGTGTTGGGCTTGAATGTTTGACTCCAATGTGGACTTGGCCCCACGTGTGACCCACTATATGGTGGTTGCATGTGAGGGGGCATGTTAAAGAATATAAGTCCCAAATCGAAAACTTAACTAAATAAAATAAAATATATAATGAATGGTTCCGCTACTAAAATTACCGAGGCCTTTTGTGATAAAACCCCACACCTATTGAGCTTTGAAAATAATTAAGTTAGGGACAATATCAGTGTTGCCAGTAGTGGGCCACTGACCCGTCTCTCTGAAATTAACAAAACACCAATCCTAAAAGGACAACAAACTAACATACAAAAACAAAACCCGCACTAAAACGACTAACCCACATTCACCACTTATTATACTGAGAATTCACTTTATTGTGCAAGTAAATTACAATGTAAAACTAAGACTGAATGAAAGATTTGTATCAGAAAGGAATAAAAATACAAGCTTATCCTTACAGACTATAGAAAATGCACTGAAATGAGATCATATGCAAAGCATGACTTGGTCATGAGTGACACCTGATTCTTCTTTTTATTAAACAGACAATAGTCTATACATATTAT